TGCTACGCGGTAACAGTTGGAAACCTTTCAATCTGGTAGTTTTGGTATTAAGATTAAATTAGACATTAATGGTTTTAATCTAAAAACGTATAAACTAAACCACCTCTTTTATTGTATGCATTAAAAACGATGAGGTAGGCACAAAAAATAAACATATGTAGTTTGGATTTTATTTCTCTTTTTTTTCTTTTAGTTCTGCGAGTGCAGACTGTGGTAAAACTGTTGTTGCACTTCTAGGTTTAAACAAAAATTAAACCTTTAACTGAGGCAGTGCTAATACTGTGACATAACCAAGTTCTGGCCTAACACAGAATCATTATAGAAAATGAATTTTTTTTCTTCTTTTCTTTTTCTCCTTTTTTTTTTCTTTTTCTTTTTTTTTTTCTTTTTTATCATCTGCACATGTTTCAGGCAACACCTGGTACACAGAAAATGACTAAAGTTATTGGCCAGGCCAAAATAAAACTGCAGGAACAAAAAAACCCAAGAATTCCACCCCGAGCCCCTTCCCACCCTCCCTGTTCCCAAGAAGAAGTTATCCTAGTCACTGTGTCTTTCACATTTTATAAATATTAACTTCTTAAAACCTGCACCTTCCTCTTTGTCCACATATTGTCACATTACAAAAAAGAAATGTCAATTAAATACATTGTTAACATTACTAGACTAGATCTGCCCTCTGTTTCAGCCAGTCTGACTCTCTACACCACTTCTCACCTTCTCTTGCCTGCCTCCTGTCCACTCAACAGCATCTTCATGGTAAGTCTATTTCTATTCTTCCTTTCTTCCCCCCCACTCTGTTTTAGCACTAACAGACAGAGTCCTTCAAAGCCTAGGAATCCTGGAGCTGAAGGGAAAAGAAGACCTGTAGCTTTCTAGCGTGATCCCAAATCTCAAAGACATTGTAGCACCTGATGGCAATATCTTTACAGCACCAGCTGCGTCGCAGCCTCAGTTGAAAAACAAAAAGAAACCTAACACCAGTGATGCCTGCACACACATTTACACAGAGTGCTGCACTCGTGCAGGTCTGTACTCCAGTTGAAAAGAATTCCGAGTTATGAAGATCTCAGGCTCTGGATGTCAGCAATTCCTCACCAAATCCCACTGCTTCTACCAGCTCAGAAGAGAAGTCCTGCCAAGGGTCATGAAATAGACTTGACTGCTTCCACCCGACCGCACGGAGGCAAAGAAAACCTGCGAAGAAGAGAGAGCAGCAAATTCAACAGGCAGGACAGCAGAGGCTTTAATTCGTCTTCAGGTTACCCCGATATTTGCAGTGCAATCGCAGCGCTGTGCTGGGTCTGGCGGGGCCGGAGCGGACTTTCTTCGTAGCAGCCTGTACGGGGCTTTGCATCTGCGGCTGACCGGCGCTGTTACCACACCGGTGTTCTGGCTGCCACTGAACAACGCCTGCGCAGCATCAAGGCTTTCTCCCTGGCCCCTCAACCCCCAGGGCCACTGGGCTGGGAGAGGCTGAGAGGGGGCAATCTCGGGTCAGCGGACCCAAACCGACCAGAGAGATACCCCATGACATACAACATCATGCTCCGGGAAAGGGAGGGGCCAGGGGGACATCAGGGTGACGACACTTGTCTTTCCAAGCAAGCACTACACGTACCGAAGCCCCGCTTCCCAGGGCCGGCTGGACATCTGCCTGCCAGCGGGCATTTGTGAATTAATTCCTTATTTTGCCTGGCTTGCATGCGCAGCTTTTGCCGTCCTTATCAAACTGTCTTTATCTTGATCCATGAGTCTTTCCACCTTCCTTCTATTTTATCCCCATCCCACGGGAGAGGGGAGGGAGCAAGAGGCCGGCTGGGTGTTTGGCCGCTGGTCGGGGCCGACCCACCACAAGCACCAGGTTCAAGTACATGTTTACCACCTTGGCAAGAAGCTAGGGGGGAGGAACTGTACCTTGTCATTGCGTTCGCATAAGAACTTGAGCCTTTGTGCCCTTTTGTGCATGAACACACCGTCCAAGTGTCCAGTTTCCACCGATCGTATCTCGATAGCTTTTTCTCCCCAGCCCATAATCTGGTTGGATCGGATGTACGCTTGGGAGAGAAAACACAGCGCACAGCCCATTAGGACGGACAGAGGGCAACGCGGGGGAACTGAAAAAGCAGGGGAATATACTGACGCGCTCGAGTTGAAAGTGACCTGTGTGTACTTACTATAACCACACGCGTGTTCAGAGTGCTATTCCTGCCCTCAGCACCTTCATGATGCCTAAAAACGCCTTTTTTATTTTTTAATTTCCCCATGGGTTTTCTACATTAGTAATATACCTCTTGCCTGAGCATTCATGACACAATGGGAACCTTCCAACCTTCAATTAAATGGAGTAACATTGCGTTTTCACACAGGCTTTTTTCTCCCAAGCACGGCAAAGAGACAGGCTGATTAGGTGTTGACAAGGAGAAAGCAGAACCCAAGGTTTAAACAGACTGAACCCATCCACTCCAGCGTGTCCCCAGCACCAGCTCTGTGTCCCAGTGTTATTTCCCCTCCTTGAAGGAGCTTGTCAGCAAAAACAGTGAAAGAGGAGAAGGAAAGGGAAAACCAAAAAAAAATGAGCTAACCTCCTTTAATAGGAGTAAAATTTCAAAAAACTAATCTCCTTGAGAAAGCAAATTGGCCTGAAAAGCATTCTGCATATCTCAAAAGAGGTTCATATTAAGCTGTCCAAGTGGAAAGACTATTATTTGTCACACCACTTTCCTTTGTGCACAAATAAACATAAAAATCCAGCATTTTTCCTCAAGAGTGTCACTGAGGGAAACAGATCAGTAGTAGCATGAGGAAAAAAAAAAATAAAAATCTGTTCTTGACAGCAGTAAAAAATCAAATAAAGCAAAAAGTCAGCAGCATTATGAAAAGGTATATTCAAAAAGCAATTTGATGGATAGTCTTAGGAATGCGGCCAAAAATAACATATGGGAACTTAATGAAGAATAAGCTGTTGCTTCTCATTTGCATGTATCCTCTACAGAAAAATAAAAAGAAGAACAATAGCTCTTAGCAAGCATAATTAAAAAATATTTAATTTTGCAGTACTTTCCTTTTATAGAATTTGTCTCATTAATTTTCAGTGAAATTAAATCCAATTATCTACTATAGTATTATGCACACCTATAATATTGCATATACCATCATGCTGGAAATTTATTTATTTTTAAATATGCCACTAGTGGCAACTGGGCCATCTAGCCTCTAAAAATTGTCAGATGAGATGCTCAGATTGTGTTGGCTGCCTCAGTGCCATTTTCTTCACAGGCACTCCAGTCCCCAAAGGCTCTGCAGTTTGCCAGCTGATCAATGCTGCTTGCTTTTAGATCTAGCTGAGAGTCAATCACCACAAGAGTGAACATGCTGCGCATGAAATTTCTTCAAATTTCCTCCTCAATTATTGCTCGCGTTGCTCAAACAGCTATCGGCAGCCATCTCCCAATAACGTGCATCCATTCCAAGGCACGTAAAACTCCACATGTCTGCCCAACAAAAGGAAAGCGTGACCACAGCCTGTGCTACAGTCGGCTCTGAAATACAGCATCACAGGGAGCAAGAGGGATCCTGCCGTGTACTTGTGTTTGTAACAAATCTGGGCCCATTCTACTACACTCCTTGCTCCCACTCTCAAAACTACCTCATTTTGAACTGGAGAGATGTAGGAGAATTATCATGCTAGGGTAGATGAGCAATCTGCATGTGAATTGCAGTAAATACATCAAATCAGATATACAGACTGTTATCTCTACAGAATTACCCATAATAATATCTTACCCATATGCTACCTCACATGTCTTTATACTGAAAGGTTTCCAGAACTCTGTGGATGTCTAGCAAAAATTCTGCAGCAGCCTACAGAGGCCCTGGTGAGTTTTTCATTCCTGAACTCCACAACTTGCTTGTTCGGCTTTTGCTCTTAAAAACTGAGCACAAAACAGATCCATACGATCACTCTCCACTTTGTGCAGCTATTTTCCAGGAGCACTACAGCATTGCTGCTTCTGAGTCTGATGTCAAACCTGATGCACGTTCCTTCTGCCCGTGTGCACACACTCACGCTCCCCAATGGCACACTGTATCTGACCCTGCCAAGGCACTCACCAACTGAAGTTGGCATTTCTCCCCACTGCAGAACCACATCCTTGGTGATCCTTCCGTACGTGTTGACGTAAACTCCTTCATCCTCATAGCAGACCAGTAGCTCCATTCCATCCGTGTTTGGGAGAATGATGATTGCATGAGGTTGGATACTGCTCTGGATCTACAGAGACAGAAAAGAGGAAACCTTTTGTTTTAATGCCATAGAGCCTGAACTGGGAGAAAGGGCTGGGTGATTTTTGATTTTGGCTGACAGCACGTCGGTGATTCACTCACTTTCGAAGTGCTAGCTCTGCTCTCCCCAAGCTAGACGCCCTTACACAGTGACAACAAAGACCTGGAAACCTTTGGGGAACAAATGCCCCCATCTTAAGGCAGACATCGAAAACCAAGAAAGATTACCTAGTCTGTAGGAGTGCCCATTTCTTCCCACGGGCAGAAAGGGAGCCTGGGGCAAGCAGCCCAGGTGCAGACCTCAGACCTCTGCCCCGCAGTGAGCAGTGCTGGGGGAGGTGCATCACACACTGCCAGCCCATTCGACACCTCTGCGCACAAGGAACAACAGGAAACTTTGGCAGCTAAGGCCACCTGGCCTTTGCCAACCCCATTGAATCTCATCAGTGGGCTGTCACATCATCAGTACTGCCACCTTCCCCAAGCCTCTGCAAGGCACTCAGCCATTTAGCTGCTCCTCCTGAAATAGTCATGTTGGCCCATGTCAGACTTGAGTGAGCAGCTCCCGACCATGGAGTCATCCTGACCATGAGGAGAGGACAGAGAGCAAGGCACAAGCCCCTAAGCACAGGTGGCCACATCTGCTTGGACCCCTCCACCCAATTTACCATGCTAGCAGTGATACATCAGGGCAGCCCGACGTGTTGGTCATCTGAGGAAAGGAAGGGGCAGGGAAGAAACCAGAAAAGAAAGAAGAAACCCCACCCCAACAGAAGCTCTTACATGTGTTGGTAAATAAATATCATAGACCGATCCTGAATCCACGTCAACGGCATGGAAGCCAGCACAGGAGCCATAGATCACTTTTAGTCTCTGACCTTCTTCTACGGTTAGATCCACCAGCAATGGCTTATGTACCAATTCTCCAAACGACTGTAAGACAATCATCAATGAGATTTACTTTACTGCTTAGAACCACGTTGGGTTTTATAAAAATATGCTCTAATGCACCTATTATGGGTTTATTACGCCGGCGCGCCTCTGGCCTTCATCCACCAGACCAGTTAGGCTAACACCTCTGTCCTGGACAAGAACAGATTGCTCTGCATCCTGTTGCATTTCAATCACATAATATTCTAAGCCATTTTCTGCGGGGGCTTAACCTTAGTTGGTCTGCTTGTTTTCTAGTAAGAATTGTTTTCCCCAAAGTTCAGGGCAATTTGACGCTCCCGTAGTGTTTACTTCAATTTGCACAGCCAGCAGTAACTGATTGTCTGCGAATCAGTTTGGTAATTATACCAAGCCAGCTAACTTCATTCTTGTTGCATTCAAAAACATAACAATGCTGAGTATCACTTAATGACTTGTTCTGCTCAGATGAAGATGTTTAGACTTAGTTCACTTCTCTCTGCCTCATGTTTTATTTACAGAGAGACAAAACAAACAGTTGTGATATTGTGTCACTTTGATTATTAGTTTATGCTCAGTTACAATTTATGACTTTAAGTGTACTGCATCTTTGAGCTAAAGAAGCTCCTAAATTAAAATACAGTTCATGGCAGATTTACCAAAGAACTTGTAATACGGCCATGATAAAACGTTGGAACATTTTTGTAGAAGGGGTAACTGGAACTGCCTATGAGAAAATCCTACGTATGGCTGAGATATACTGTTACCTTAAAGGCCATAAATTTATGGTATGGCTTTGGTGCCCATGCATAGACTTCCACAGAACTCTTCAATGCAATTACCAAGAACTTGATTCTTTCATATTTTACTGAAATTAAAACAAAACAGAAAAGAATTCAGCAGCAATTTCGAAGTCATTCCAGTTACTTCAGGAAAGCAGAAGATGACAATATTTCTCCATACTTACATACATTTGTAACATACTACATAGTAACAATGCATTTTAGGATTGCTAATTCTATCTAGTTGAGCATTTTGACACATTTACGGCACAAAAAAATTACTCCTCTTACCAGTAACTGAACCCATCACCATGTTTCAAATTACATAGTCCGTACACACTTCTTTACAGTTTTTTCCCCCTACATTAGACAGTGCTTACTCGTAACGACAGGAAAATTGGTTTTCAGACAGGGATATTTCCAATAAGGGAAGCCTATGACTGTGGCAGAGTGTATTGGCAGTTCCACTCACAGTACTGGCCAGTGGTATTTTGAGCTGATGGCAAAACTCCCCAGGGGAAAGGAGGGAAAAAAAAGGAACTGAAATGAAAAGTTAAGAAACAAGTCCATTTCTAAAGCAAAAGACAAGTTTGATAGCAGAGCACTTTCCTTTGTCCCTAAAGACTGAGATAACTCATTAAAAAAAAAAAAAATCCCACAGAATTTATCAGAAAAGAAGTGTCATGTCATAGCTGACCCACAAATGCTTGAATACATCTCAGTTCCCACATTCAAACAGCTGGCTAAACTGCCTACCAAAAAAAGCTCTGCTCACTACTTCTGTTTTCAGAAGAGTACTGATACTAGAAACGGCCACTCAAGAAGTGTTGCTGGATCTGCATTTCCAGCTGCTGCCTGCATTTGGGAAGGAACACATCATGGGGGCTTCAAAATGTTGAGGTTTGTTAACCTCTTTCCAGCACTCTTTATGGGGGAGGAGAAAAAAAATTAGCATTATTTGGATGACTCTGAGAAACCTCAGGAGGTTTCTGTTACCTCTTTACCCCAAGTTTTACGGGAATATGATACTTTTCCAAAAACAAGGAGTAATTCTGTGCACCTTCACCTTCTGCCATTATATCTCCCAACCAAAACTGATTTTGAAACATGGCAGGAGTGAAAAATCTCAGACTTGCGAGAAGAACACTTCTTTAATAAATACTATTTTAATGCCTCTTAGATATCTTACTATCATACAAGCCTGCAGTTGTTGTCTCTTGGTAGGTAACAGGGAGAGAAAGCTACTATTTGCCCCGTTTTCACTCTGCAGGGAGGCAAGACTACTGAACTGTAAGTGTAAAGAACTTGACACTTTTTCAACAGACAAAAAAGGGGTCTCTCAACATCCACAGCTGTACTGACTGAAAAACAGAGCTTTTGTTCAGTCTTGTCTAGCTTACAAGACGTCTTGGAATTTTTTCTCAGGGAAGAGGGGGCTGTCGAACAAAACCACCTTCTCTGTGAAAGGGGACCTTTGATAATCCTCATTCTTTGCTCTGGGTGCTATCTGGGAATTCACCCAAATCTTCAGTTTCTAAAGAGCAATTTATCATTCAGAGGAGCCAAACACTGCCTGAAGCAACTGAGATCCATAAATACCACTTCACCGTGACGTCCGAGACCCCTGTTGCATCAAAGCGACAAGGAAGCGACTGGTGCCAGCTGCCTGGGTGGCAGCCTCCAGACCACGAGCCCAACTATCGGCAGAGCTCATCCTTCTCAGGAACCGAAGCGCAGCTGCCAGAGAGGCCTCTCGCTACCTGCAGAAGTCATCTATGGTTCAGAGGGAAGTTCAGCGCCAGGCTGTAGCCCAGACTAACAAAGCCCTCTTCATCTGGAAGAGACTGCTTTTTGTTTCACACGCTTCCCTGCTGGAAAGCCTCCTTGCAATAGCTGTTGAGGTATTGTTAACAGGCCAGTTCATTATGCTGCTGACACCCTCGGGTATGATACCAGACAAGAACATTATTATTTTTTTCTGGGGTCAAGCTCCTGGTTCAGCAGTCACTTACTGCCATCATTATTGATTACACCCCACTAGCAGGTTTTTCCAAGAGCACACGCATCACAGGAGGAGACTGAGCTCAGTCTGCTGCTGCTCCACGCTGACTGACACAGCTGGAAAGAAACTGAGCTGGCTCTCAGGAGAAAACTAGACCAAAGGCTACATCCAGTGAGAAGATCTCCAGGAGGAAGAGCTCTTGGTTCTTATCCCCACCTGCAGGGCAGCAGGCTCACTGCATACTCTGCTGACTGAATGCTACATGTCTTTCACTAGTTTTGGTGGAAGTTTCTACAGCCAAATCCATTTAAATGACTTCAAACCACTCAAAATGCACCTGCCTAGTGAAAACACACTTCATCTCACAACTGTACTGCAGTGGATCTGAGATGGCACTAGGAAATTTCATGAGCTAAGGGGAATCAATGAATCATCTTGAAGTTAAACATATGCTTCTGTTCCCAGATGCCTCCCCAAAGCTCGTGCACTAGCTGGGCTTGCTTTCTCCTCCCACTCTTTTTTTTTCTCTTCTTTTTTTCCCCAATCTTTAAAATCTACATTAAAGAGGAGACTTTTTTCACTCTGCTCCAGCATGTGATTTCATCATGGTAAAATATGCAAAACCTGTTCGCAGAGAGAACGGCTGTTGGTTGACAAGAGGCCCTCCGTTACCTAAAGGGTCTAACAGAGGTGGCAAAGTGTTACCAGCCCTCACTGCCCACATTCGCACTCTCCTGGAAGCTGTACCTGCCACTGGAAGGAGACAGATGGGGATTTGCTCCCGCTCCAGTTCACAGCCCAGTATCCCACCGCAAAACCCCTCCCATATTCAGTTTAACCCAGTAACTTGTCACCTATTCTGGCGCTTTGCCAGAGAAGTTCGCCCTTGAGGGCCAGGGCAGACAGCTAGAAATAAGACCAAATCTTCAACCCAGCAGCTACACGCACCGCAGTTCCCTTTCTCAGCCAGCTTTTATCCCGATGATTTGATTACTGCGTTTGCTACTCACCAACTTTATAGTGCACACAGCCTTCCAAGTCACCCACCGTCGTCCAGCCCTGTTTCTTTTCTACTTCAGGGTCGTTGTGAAGGATTTTATTTCTTAACCAGGACAAATAGTAAACTCGCAACTTGTTCTTCTTACCTGGCCACAAAATAAAAAAAGATTGGTTTATATCCATAGGATGATAAATGCAAAAAAAACCCTGCTCAAGCAAACAGAAAGCCCCACAGCACAACCCAAAACGACAATGAAACTGCTGCACCCACAAAGATCTCCCTCAGTTTTCACATCCACAACAGCTTTACTCCAGACTCTACCTAAACACATGCTCTCCTGATAATCAGTGACAGACACGCATGGTAATACTACAGGAACCTAAAATGACAAACTCAAGGGAACAGCTCTTCGAATTGTCTGGTTCTTCGGACGCATACAACTTTTATTAGAAAAGGGTTATACTCCCACTACAAAAGCACCAGAGACTCCTGCACTGAGATAAAAAAAAAAAATACATAGCTGAATCAGAACAGCTCTTCTTTGCACCAAACTCTGGGAGAGCAGCAGGATGGAATTTGAGGCCCAAAATTATCTATACAGTTATTAGAAGAGAGTAGGACTGGTTTGAAAAGAGGAAGCAAAAGTGAAGAAGAATATGGTGATGAAATGTACTTTACAAATTCTTCCCAGTTACTGACACAAACTGGTTGAATTTTATTAAGAGTGTTCATTATTCCCCTGGTAAAAAAGCACACCAAACAATAGCACTACACAATTTCTTTACTGAACCACTTTACACTTCTTCTGTTGTAAGGAAAAACGCACAATATCTGAAATTGCAGTGAGACAGTTTCACATGGCCCATGCACGCTTCATCTGCCTGCTAAAAGCTGATGACTGCTTTGTCAGCAGCCCTTCCCTCGTGCTGCAAGGAATGTAATACTTATCAGGCTGCACAAAGAAACTGCAAGAGGTGTTTCTTCTCCACAGGTGAGAGAATCTACTTGTCCAGGCTGCCGTATCTTCAACTGACAATGCATCTGCCACGGTCATCAAAATACAGCTCAGGCTCTAAGTCTCAGTACGAGAAGGCCTCTTTTGAATGCAGAGCAAGGCTCATGACTTACTTTATCAGTGATTCTTTAACTACTAATGGCCTACAAAGCATTTGCTGAACTAGCGAGAAGGTGGCCCTAATGCACATACTCAAAGCTTGCATCCTCCTTCCTCCAGCTGCTTTGCTGCCCGAAGCCATTACAGTCCCAACAGATGAGACTGGAGGCAGAGGAGAGATCGTCTCAGCTTTGACTGGGAGCCATTCAGTCAGGCTCCATGAGGTTTCCGCATAAGGAAAGGAAATAGGAGGTTCTCCCAGGGACCCAACTTGTCAGTGCAGTGGCTCCATGCTATTGCTTCACCAGCCACGACGGGGAAGCCGTGTGACTGCGGACAGTGTTTCACGGCCCTTGGAGCTGAAAGGAGATGGCTGGGCTGCACTGCAGTCAGTGCTGGGCTGGCCAAGTGACTCAGTGCTGGTCTGCGCTGCAGAAAGCCACGACCTGTCAGGACAGTCGCCTGGCAGCCAGCCAGCCACATCCGGCCACAGGGTTCAGCTAATGTCTTTAATTTGCCCTTTCCACACAATGCCTACGGATGGATCAGTCTGCAGATGGCTGCTGGGATGGGCATACAGCCACCAGGGGATGCGGGTTACGGCAGGACGCGAAGCTCGAGCATTGTGACCACCCTACCAAGCCCAGCCAGCTCCGCACTGGGGGCCCGGAGCCGGAGTGGAGCCCCCACCCTGATGGCAGAGGATCCCCTAGCAGAGCCGGGCTCCTCCGGAAAAGCAGCCGCGAAGGCTGGGGCAGCACACGGGGAGGCACAGCTTGCACACAGGCTGCTCCACGGACTCCAGCGCCGCAAGTCTTTCTGTTATGAACACACACCGCCTAAAAGATCTTTTTATGATTTCTTGGATGGGGAAGAGCTGGAGGAAAAGAGGAGGCAGTTTGAAAGTGAAAAAATCTGTTCACTGAGCGTAAGTTTAAAGGGAAATCAGAGACCCATTTTCAAATGTTGGACCTGCTACTTAATTTTAAAAGCTCCTCTGCTCTGATGGCACCGAACGAAACGTGAAGTAATACTGCACTCTCCTTTGTTTATCCCCGCTGCAAATGTGACAGCAGATTTGGCAGTAAATGCACATCCTGATTTATTGCCTGACTCCATATTTATTAAGCCAAGCTTCATAAAGGGATAAAGCCCCACCGCTGCCACAGCTCTGTTAGATTTAGAGAAGGGACCAGTGCAGGAAACAACATTCCCAGAAGTCCTACATCTGACTGAGGAAAGGCCCTCCCATGAAAACACTGCAAACAATAGCTACAAGGGCTCTTTCAGCAACACTGAAACAGGGAACAGAGTCCGGACCAGAAGGCGCTGCAGTTCTGGGTGAGGAAGAGCTCAGAGGTCACAGGAGAGCTGAAGGTCAGTACAATGCATCGAATATTTTTCAAACCATCACAAGTCCCTGTGCACCAGCAGACAAATTCTCTCTCAGATATTTCCAAGGCTCTAGGTTCCCCAGTAGCTTAGTCAAACTTGACGACTCAGAACAAACAGTACACACGGGAATTTCCCAGCACGTGGCTAAATTTTTCTTTTTTTCTGCTGGTTCACGTGGTGTGCACCAGGGTATTTCTCTCCAACCAGAAACACTTTTCAAAACAACAGTGTGTTCCCATTGTGTTTTAGTGTCTAGGCCACAAGGAAAGTCACAAGACAGGAAATTCCTCTGCCTTTCAGCAGGCTGCCACGAGAAGAGCAGGACCGGCTAGTTATATAAACGTGGTTGTGTGTGTACTTCAACAAGTTCTGCTGCTCTTAATGTTTCTATTGGAAGTGCGGGTGATTTGGCCCTTCTGCTTGTAAATGTCTACCAGTCAGTTTTAAAAGTTCTCAAAAATCTGGTCTTTTTGTTTGTTTGTTTGTTTGGTTTTTTTGGGGGGGTGGGTGGGTGAGGGGGTGGTCTAATTGTTACAGCCATGAAATAAGAAAAAAAACTCTGCTCCAGATCAGCCAGTGACTTCTATGAGAACTCCCAGCTCTGGTTCTCCCACAGACATCATTTCAAATGCAAAGTCCCTTTTCCTATATTGGGTTTTTGTTTTTATTGTTGCTGTGGTTTTCAATTATTAAGCAGGCAGATTCCAACCAGTTTCTCTACTCTGTCACCCCTGCCCAACTTCCCGAGTGCCACCATCAGCCAGTTGCGTTATGTCAAACCCCGGCGGGAGTCACAATTGCAGCGTGTTCTGTATGCACGTCATCGCGCCCTCTTCCAGCATCTGTATGATTCTCAGCACTGTAATTACCTGAGCAGCTGAAACTATGTTTTTGACTTCCAACAGCGTGAAGAACTGATTAACTACTCTGCTTTAACCTGCAAAGCTTTCTTGTACCAGCTGTAGCAGCTCAGTATCTCAGTATCAAAAGCTTTGCTGTCAATAAGTTTTATATTTGAGATACACATTTGAGGAAGAATTGATTTCAGGTTTCCAGACTCAAAAGTGTATATTAAAAGCAATTTTAGCTGACAATCCCCTTGAAATCCTAATGCTCTGCAACTTCTTCGCACAATAAGGCAACATTTTTCAAACCTCACCACCATCAGCACATCACTTCCTGAAAAAGCCGAGGGAACATATGGCCAAGAGTGCTGTAGGGAGCTGAACAAGGCTCCCAGCAGAGCAGCAGCAGTCCTGGGACAAAGCTCAGAGGAAGCTCTGTCACCAAGATGCCAAAATGCACCATTTGCAGAAACACATCCCCAGGTCAGCATTCCCAGTTTGCCTGGAGCGGTGGAGCAACTCCCTACAAATAAAAAGACACCAGGAGAAGTCCAGCATGAGGGTAGCTTAAATTGAGCACTGCAGCGCAGAAACCAGAGCAGGAATTCTGGTAAGAAGCGTCTGAGCATAAAAGCAACCACGGTTCCACTAAGTGTGCTCCCCCAGCCCAGCCTCTCGGTGGGCAGGGATGCCTCTTTCCTGCCTCTGCTCCAGCAACCTCCCCAGAAATGCAGGAGACGGGACAGAGATGAAGGCAAACACCAGCCAAAGACCAGCCGATTTCTTAAGGGTTAATGTAGCACGTCTCCACAGAGGAAGTACTAGTTTCAAAGGAAACAAAGAAAACGGATGTGTCGGGGTACTCAGATAGTGACTGATGGAAACGTAAATAAACCTAAAACAATTACACACAAGACTGAATCACAGACACTTGTCATCTGTGTGGGATATGCTTCAAACCAACAGATTTTACCTAGGTTGTATTATACAATATTTTTGTTTATAAAGTCTATTATAGAATAAACTCTATGAAATGGTACTTTTCAAACAGCTCACATTTTAACATACAGCATCGCACATCAACAGAACACAGGTTGTGTTTTCCTAAACCCTCCTTGCTTCATCTTTTCTTTTTAAAGATTTCACAGCATAGCTGGAGCTGAGAACGCAGCAAGCAACGAGCCAATACAATACGGCTGTTCCAGACAGAAGCGAAGTCCCATGTTGACAACACCAGCACGGGCACAGTTCTTTGGACCTGCAGTAGTACAACACTGCTAATAGATTAAATTGCATTAAATTGTATCGGTGTGCAACCTTTTGCACAAGTGTTGGGAGAGCCAGAGAGCTCCTCTAGTGGAGTCAGAGAGATTCTGGAGCCTCAGCAAAGCTTTGGGTCACTCTGAACAATGACACAGGGGCCACTGCGCAAAACCTCATTTAACATCCTCTCCCTGTCACACACGCGCAGCGTAGCAAAGGCTGATTTCACAAACAAACTAAAACAAAAGGAAAGGTAAGCAGCTGAACGACACCTGTGAAGAAAGATTAACAGTGCACCACATCAAGTTGCTTAACAGTAGGATAACCTTATGCAATAACTCTCTGGAGCCAAAGAGTCTGGAACCTCAAGCTTCATAAAACGCATTTTTCTGTTGCTTTGCCGTCTGCAGTTGCATCCAGTGAGAGACAAGGCCAAACGCTGCATCGATCTGCCTTCTCACACTGGAAATTTCCACATCACATACACATTGTACGCCCCTCTCTCTCAAACACACGCTCACTGCACATCCCTCTTATTTCCCTGCTTCGCAAGAGCATTTCCCACTCTACTGATTTTAACACAAAAGATGTCTTTAAACCCAAGCAGCAAACCATGTTTCGGTTAGAAAGAAGCCAGGTTGAAAGTAATCATGACAGAGGGAAAGAATGGCATTTTTACAAAGAATGGCATTTTTACCACTTCACAAAACATTAACTTGCAGCTCCCAAACACTGAACAAACCAACAAAGCCCGATGCTTCCCCCAAACCCATGCAGCATTTTTAAAGGCCACCCCACAAGAGGAAGGACAGGGAGCAAGCAGGCACAGGGTGCTGTGCAGAAAATGATTCACTTGCAGAAACAAACTGTAGACTCCGGGATGTGAAATGATGGAAAACCCACCGACTTCAGTTAAGTCAGCACCTTCCCTCAACACACATGCTGCCAAGAAAAGCGTTCTGCCATGCCATGCCAGAAGGGGGAAAAATCATGCTGAAAAATTTATTTTACCAGAAATTGTCACCAAGACATTCAGTCCTTCAAGCACATCCATTTGCTGGAATCGTCTTCGATTGATGAGTGGATAAACCTTCCCCTGACCACTTCTGTCTAGCAGCATCAGACCACTTTCAGTGCCCACCAACAAGTTCACTCCTAGAAGAAACAAAAACAAAGATCCAAGTTACTAGGCAGACTTTCCACACGTTCTGACAAACTGATGCTTGATACAGCAACTGTCTTGTTTCAAGCAGGCCTAACCACTGCTGGCTGGGTCTCAGCTGCCTCCAGCCTAAAAGATCTCATGATGTAGAGGCTGTCTACATTACCGGCCTACAGTGACTACTGACACCAAATTGCAGCATTCAAGAGACTGGTAGACCATGGAGAGCTTTCTCAAGCACCAGTTCCCAAAGAGGCACACGAATGTTGGAGGAGGGGTGAGACGCAAAGTGGTACCCAAGCTTCTGTATTCCAAAGATGCATTAGCTGTTGGTAGGGGGGCTGGTAACAGGATGCTTTTGACAAGGAAATTGCAAAAAAGCAGTGGTAGGGGCCTGGTCCTCACTGCGAGAAACAGATTGCGGTGGAGCCCTCCTGTAAAAGGATAGGCAGAGGGTTGGTCCTCAGCTTCCCAACAATCTTTTCCATCTGAATATTAAAACTAGAGGAACTACAGTAATCTTGTGTTTCCACAGATTTCTCCTAAAGATCAAGTAAATAAAGATGAGAAAAGTCAGTAGGCCAGTTTCTTTCTACAAAGGTCCACATATCCACTGGAACACTTTCCAGGAGTCCACAAAACCTTAGCATTTAAGATAACTACATTTTTTTAGTGATAAATATATATATATACACAAGACTAGGTTTTAAAAATCTATTAATATATTATCATTCTTAAATTTCGTATTTAACTGCAATAGTGTTTCAGTCTAGGACCCCACAAACTGTGCAGAGACAGGTCAGATACAGTACAGTGAATGGACATCAAACCAAATGGATGACTTGCTTTTAACCTAATGCATGACTCCCTTTATCAGGCTTCTATGTTGCAATCCCAATATAAAACTTGTAAGAAAAGCAAAACTCACAAAAGTGGATCATATTTCTATATTGCTTAACCGCCTTAATCCCTACTCAGACAATTAATACCCAGATACAAGTATACTGGTGCCAACAGATGTACCCTTCGGGCTGATCCCGTAACAAACCTTTTCCAACGCAGCACGTGGGCCCAATACACAGGAGCCTGTATCCTGGCACGGTCTGCATCTATAGCAGTGATGCCTTCTCCCAGTATTGAAAAAGGGCACTGCTCACAAGGACAAGGAATGCTACCTCAACAACACCCTGGCTACCAGACACGGGAGCGGTTTGCAAAAGGAGAGCATGCTCACCCCAATCCAGGGGGCACGGGGTGTTAGAGGTGAGCAGAGCTGCAGCTGGGAGGAGGCAATGATGGGGAAGGGGCCAGAGTTGCTGGTGCTGGGGCACTCTGAAAAGCCTCTGGCTGGATGAGAACAACAGACGTAGCCCATGGAGAGGTCGGAAACCATCCTGCATCTCCCTTTTCCTATCTCTTACCCTTCCAGTAAGGAAACTTCAGAGGTCTCATCAGTCCCCACAGACTATCTCCTCTCTTTGCTTGGATTTGGTGCCCTGCTGCTCCTCTGTCTCCTCCAGGCAGGGCAGCCCATGGACGCTGGCAGGTGCAGGGCCCATCTTGGGAGACCTCCTCAGTCCCCTTCCTGCTCTCCAGTTCTGCGTCCCCCACACGGGTCTGTGCCTGCTGGCTCCTGCCCATGGCCGTCTCCCATACTGGGGGACATCCTCAGACTGGGAAGGGGCAAAAGGAAAGCAGGGAGAGTGGGGCACGGATCGCCTCAGGGCTTGGCACGGGCTGCAGCAGCATCACACCGGCCGAGAAAGCGCCCAGCTCTCTGTCTCCTTCCTGCAGCCCCAGGACCCATCGACTAAAGCTGTCAGTGATTCAGCTTCAACACATATTTTTGTATTTTGTTCCACTGTGGATTACAGTACAAAGCCACAAGCAAACTGCTGCCTCAAGGTCCCTTCCCGTCTTTGCACACCAGGGCTCAATCGCTCCCGCCTCCACCCTCATCTCCTCCTCTGCCACCTTTGCGGTGCAGTTGGTTCTCCTTCGAGTTTACATGTGTGCATGCCCCTGACCCCTTCTCTTAGCCATACACATTTTGAGATGAAACCAGTGAGGTACTATGCTGGAGGCAAGCAGCGCCTCTAAAATGCAGGCACTCTTTATTCACAGCCAGCCAAGTTCTTCTACTGTCACCCTACAATTAAGCAGTTCTGGTTTTTAAAACAAATGGAAAGGCTTCCTGAAAAAGTAAAGGCTCTCTGGGGAGGCTGGGTGTAAAAATCTATGCTACTGCATCCATGCCATTAACGTTGACTTTCACCAGTTGGTAGAAACAGCATCACAGACCTAATGCAATCAGGTACCTGCCAGATACTACGGCATTACTACTGGTAAAGGCAAAGCAAAACAAAAAAAACAAGCCCCTCTCTTTTTGAAGAAGAAATATCACCATGAAATGGTTTCATTTGCTCAGAGGAAAAGGAAGGTAAACCTTATCAAGAAATAAGCATGTGTACCAGCTTACATCCCCATCAGTTTGGCCCTAAATGTTCAACAAGGAAGTGCTTTGTTACAGCCGTACAACATCTCTAGGATTTTACACCTATATTTTAAATCACCATAACAGTCAGATACATGGATCAAAGAAATACAAAACCATTAGCACAAATTGCTACTGGCAAAACAAGGCAGATCAGAGAAATTATGAGTCATCTTTACTAATCCCATACGATTTCCCTCTGCCTTCACCTTCCCACAGTCTAAGAGTTCACATTTGCACAAGTCTCTTAATTTTATCAGAGAATTATTCCTATGAATACAGGCAGACATAGCATTGGAGTAAAAATTCTTACCAGCAAATTCTGGAAAAAAAGAAAACAGCAGATAGGAAGATAAGGTGTCGGGAGAGCTATTTAATTGACACAGCTTTGCAGGCAAGAAGGATAGGACAACCGTGCTGTTCTGAGAAACAAGAAATGCTGGAAATAACCCCAAAAGATAACTTAACCTTTGGAAAGAGCTGTGAACATGTAAACAAGAAAAGTGCACTGTGTTACATCTACAATCATCATGTGACTCTGGGGAATGGCCAACTCCCTTCATAGTCTTTAAAATGACACGCATGTGCATTTACAGTCTGTTAAGTTTTGGGATACTAGATACATATGTACATAATTTACACAAGCATCATCTGTTAACATTCAAATAATGAAAAAATTCAGGCGGCCCCACAGGTTCTGGCCAAGAAAGAAATGACACAGCAGAGAAAAGCTTTCGCTGGGTGTTGCAGCAGTGATTCCATACTGTAGCAGGCAACAAGCACTGCTCTAAGCCTTTCACCAGCGTAGGATCCTGACTAACTGTCTGACACCGACATAAACTATCCCTTGTGACAAGGCGGCCAGACACACTTGGTCAGCTGACACCCCATGCCCAGCTTCTCTCTGCACTAACCACTCTTAACAAAACCAAGCCACAGTCTCACACTGGAAAATGTCCCTCCTGCCCTTCTCTTTTCCCTCTTCCTTCCTACATAAACTCATGACTGAGGTGGAAAGTCATCTTATGAAACACATCTTAACCAAGCTCTGCAACAACACATTAGAAAAAGGCTCAAGAAGATGATTATTTTTCAAAAGAAACACCCTGCGTGCACCATGTCCACAACACAAAGATGACTACAAGCTCCCAAAAGCTGCAAAAGATGTACTAGCAGGGGTTAGGGAGAACTCTAAAGGACATCCTGATCGGCTGAATGAAGTCTGGACTGTGCCATCAGAAGCATATATACAGCAGTGGGAAATCATATCAAAGCAGAAGCAACATACTGCAAAAAACATAATAATAATAATAATAAGCAGCAGCAGCTCTTGCACCAAAAAGAGGTAAAGGAGCATTGAATAAATGCAGAGAAATAGCTAAGGTTTCAGAGATAGGTTCTCAAGGACTGTAAGCTCATACTGGCATGTCTGAGCATCAGAAGCACAGGAGTCAAGGGAGGAACAGGTTTGCATTACCCCATAAGGCAGCACACAGTATCTCAGAATTGAATCTCTTCTTGTATTTGCGAATCTCTGGGGTATCACTCTGTGGCCGCGTGTTGGTGGGATTCACATTGACAACTGATCCTTTCCGCGTAGGGTCTTGCCTTATTGCCTCTGATCTCATTGCTTCGCTAGAAAATCCTAGTGCAAAAAAGAAAAGTAAAGTGCATGTAATATCCTTCAAGAGCTAAATTCTGGCCATATATTCTTTACACCATACAACCCATATCAGTAACTGAGAAAATAGAGCAAGTCTTTCTTTTTGTAAGAAATGTAAATGGAAAAAGAAATAAACTATGCAATCCATTGCAAATCAAATAAAAAGCATGATGGTAACATTCGTACTTTACAGTACCACTTGAGTAAGTACTTTACAGAGCCACTTGAAGTCACTGAACCCTTTTTCAATTGTCGTCTTCAGCTACTTTACTTACCCACAGAAGTCACAGTTGTCCCACTAGATGGAGAAATCTGTAGTAATCTGGGGTCTATAAAAGGTGTAAAGGAGGAGGAAGATTTGTGTTTCTGGAGTGTGTTACTAGCGGACTGAGTCTGCAATGTAAATTTCAACTTTATTAATATTAATGACAACAAAAAGCACGGATAACAACAACCAACATTCTTAAGTCACTACAGAATTATGCTACAGAGCCTCCCCAAGCTTTTATACTTCCTTTATAGATACACAACGCGCTGCAGGCACCACACCTGAACTAGATACATATGCACACTGCAGATGTCACAGCAAAATGGAATTAGCTACATCGTTGTCCCTGTCACCTCAGCTGCTAGCGAAGATTTTTAGGACTGGCCACTACAATCTGGCACAAAGCGAGGGAATTTCTCTTTTTTAAAAAATCTGCTTAAATGTATGTATACTACCTTATCTGCCAACTGTCCGCTACCTACAACTTTTGAATTTATGAAGCATCTCCTAAAGTGAGCTAGTTTACTAAATTATGAAGTTTGACCTCTTGGCTTGAGCAACAAAATCAGAACCACCTGGGATCAAGCGTTCACTTCTACAATGGATTATGTTTCAGTGTCCACTACTGTTCATTCTCCCTATTTTGTTTAACCTGAGCCTCTTGCCAGAAAGCTGCAGCAGGTTCTTCCACCTTTATTTGACAAAGTAACATATTAAACCTGTATCGAACAAAGGGGCTCATTAGTGTGGAAGGTGTAGCAAACGGTGACATGAAGCTATGAATATGTAGTGGATAAAGTCACTGGTGCTTGCTACGTGGTCTAAACATGAAAAAACATAAAGAAAGGAAGAAGACAAGTGAAACAATGAACTGTTAAAAGTGGGAATGGAACGACTTAAAAACCCTTGCCAGTTTAGTATTATAGCGACAACATTGCATACTGAAGCAGAATGGGACAAGTGGAAAAAAAAAGTGTATATACATGAAGGGCATGCATGTGGGTAAGTTATACCAAGCACTGCTGGGTTTTTGCTCAATTTTATGCAAATGTAGTTAGAGACACTTCTTTATTATCAACAAATCTTCAACCTCTGATCTTTCTAAGCCTCTGCTCTCTGCAGGAAAAATAGCAATGGCTCTTAGGAGCGTGTCACTCCCCTGCACAGCCCAACACCGAAAGGCTCATTCTCCACCAGCCACTGCCACCGCCTCCACTTCCCAAGCTGAGTTATACGAACCCTGCTTATTTATTGCTTAGATCAACGTAATGAGGAAACACACCTCTGGATCACTCAGCTGATCTCTATAACCTACAAGAGTGTGCTTTTAGAAAGATCAAAGGCCAACGAAGCATAGCTGAAAATTAAGTGTTATGCTAACTGAACTTCCAGGAGGAAACCCTCCCCTCCACCCTCCTGCTACATGGTTCAGAAGCATTTTTGATCCTGTGGTAAACCCGTGTATTGCCATCAGCCTACCCAGCCCACCGCAACCTCTCCTTCTCGTCACACCGCTTGCACGCCTACACGGCAGGACGGCTCTACCCTGAGGAACAGCAGCTTCTTTCCACCAAGTTCTGCTCCCCCAGCACCACTCCTGCTTGCACAGAGAAAGAGGCTCTCCTCGAGAGCCACACTGGCCACCCAGCCGGGAGTAGAGCCACCTCACCGGGTTCCTCACTTACTGCTGGGGTTGGTGAGGGCTAAATGATGCCCTTTGTTCACAAGCATGCATCTCCTCTGTGGCGAGGGGTTACACACACATGAAGGACCGGGCTTGTCCACCAGTGCTGGGTGAGTAAGGGAAGGCACTGCCCTGGGATCAGCCCAGGACAGCAGGAGGGAGCTTCCCCCACGGCAAAGCCTCACTTCTCCACCTGGACACAAGCAGCACTGGTGGAGAACGGTCATCTTTACACAGCTGCTTTTCAGCGTACACATACACTTGAAAAAAACAAAGATTTCCCCCATTCATCACCCCCAGACGATACCCCAAGCTTTTACAACCCTCCCGGGTGATGCCTGATTTGTTCACCCACCCCATGTGGCAAGCTTTAAAGAGCAAAGATGTCTCCACGGACGCTTCCTCTCCCAAAGGGTGAGTTTCCACAAGCAGCTCTCCTCATATGTGCGGAGTTACCAGCCCAGCCTTCACTGACAAAGCCAAAATTAACTGCTAATTTTTAAGAGGCACACTGCTTGCAATTAGCCTGTTCCCGGAATAAAACAGCATTGAAAAATAAAAACAGAATTGGCTGGAAAAGGCAGTAGTCAAGTTTAGTTTAAAATGAACGCCATGCAATTAATGACTCACTAAGAGGAAGCAAAAATAGTAAACTGGCAAGTTTGGCGTGGGACTGCTCTAGAGTTAAGGGCTCCTTACACAGAACTGAAATGTGTTATTTGTGGGGTGGGAACAAAGGTGACAGAAAAAAAAGCAGGGGAGATTGGCTGGAGTTCCTTTGCAAACTAGCTACTAGGCAATGCTGCTATAACCCTACGAAAGCAGCCAGCTGTGGTGTAAGACATACCTCATTAGTAGTTAGCTTGTCCTGGGGTGTCTGTGGGGACATGGTGGGTGTCGGCTGGCTGGAGGATGGGGAGGAGGAGGTGGAGGAAGTGGAGGAGGAATGGCTTTGCTGTAAGAGATCTGGCAAGAGGTGAATGCGACCGGCAAAGCCATTGCTCTCATGATGGCTGGCACGCTTTTTGTCAACTGTACTCTGTAGAAAAAACAGGCACACTTGTCTTGCTCAAGTGCTGCTTAAAGGTCTATATCCCTAACAACCTCTCTCCTTCTCTCCCTCACTCTCTTTCTACGTTCTAACATTTATTTATTTATTTATTTATTAAAAAATAAGCTGATAATCCATATCTTCATGCCTTGATGGAAAGGGAATGTGGGCAGAGGTACCAGAATCCAGCAAATTCCCACCTCTTGCGGCAGGCAGAAGCTTAGTTCGTGTGGTTGACTTGCACAGCCAGTTCCACCAATTAACAGAAGAGTAACTGTGCTGGTAAGTCTTCCACCACAATGCAGACAAGCACATTTTGGGGAGTGGGGGCAGGACTTCTTCCCCTATTGTTTGTTTAAAACTAACTTAAATCCTATACAGATTCAAGCTTGGACTGTCTGGTGAATGCCTTCAGCTAACTATTTAAAACAATAAGCATGAAATCTTAATTTTCAAACCAGAGGGCTCAATTAAGAAATTGGCATTCAGTTGTGAAATTCAGAAACACGATTACCGAGGAAACTCCTATAAGCTAGCACGCTCATTAACACACAAGCTCATTTAAAAGCAGGGCATCATTATCTTTCAGAGGGGCAAGAATGTAACATTTTCAGAACAAAAGGCAAGAACACAGTGCTCTAGCTCTGTCCACACTCTCTCCCTCACCACCTATTTTGATTCTCAGTTCCCCCACACTGTTACATGAATTTGTATGTGTGTGTGTGTGTGTGTGTGTTATCCGAGTGGTCTGTACGCCCTCAACTACAGGTTTAATATAATTTTAAAAAACCCTGAATGCTTTCCCCCAGCCTCCCTTCCCAGCCCCACTCCTGAAAGCCACATTTGGTTCTATGGCAAAACTAAACTAAGTTCTTGCTCCAGGTACTTGCTCCACACACCTGCAGCTTTTCTACCCTTCTCTCCCACAGACTTTGAGGTACTCTGCATGGTGCTGCCATGGGTGTCACTGGAAAGCATGCAAAACAGTAGCAAGGGGTGAAGGGCTGACTCTCCTCTTTGCATGCATCAAACATCTTACTCATCTGAAATTCACTACAGCTGTGTCTTGATAACACGAACAACAAATATAATGTAGAAACAGCATGGGTGAATGAGCGAGTGGGTTAATGAGCACAGAAAAGGTGCAGCACTGCACAGGGAAGGAAAAGCAATACCTGTCGGACAATCAAGGTGCCTTCCTTAGAAGGAGTCAAGGCAGGTTCACTCTCCACATCATCATGGACAATCATGGTTTTCACCGACTCTGTTTCACCATTGCTCAAGTTCAACGTTGACCTGTTTGCCAGACGAGAAATAACTGGAGTGAGATTAACAGTACTTGTGTCCTAGCTTTCGCTGCCCTACACCAAGTCACACTCAAAATTAACTTCTATTGTGAGCAGAGTGGAATATTTACCTAATCTGCCTTGAAAAGCTTCTCTATAAAAAAAAAAAAAGTCAGGAGTTTGCTGAATACCGCTTCTTGTTTTATAACAAATCAAGGGAGAAGAGGGAAAGGACGTAATTTATAGAAGCCTACTTTCTGAAAAAGTTACCCTCATTGTTTGAAACTGTGAACATAAAAGGCTGCTATGTCTTGCTCATTGGTTGTTGTAAGCTGAAAGAACTAACATACAAGCCAAAATACCCAACATCCTTTTCCCTCAACCCCTTAAGAGGGAAAATCGAAGCAAAACACTGTGAGAACTAACACTGCTCGGACATCATCTGGTCCAGAAGTAGATTCATCTGCTCCTTCTTGTTCCATATCATCATCTTCCTCATCTGTCGTCCCTGACTCCTCACTTGAGGATGAATAATCCGTCACTTTATGTGGAGGTCGCACATCCTCTACCGCTCGCAATTCCTTTGCCAATGCAGTTAAATCCTGATGGGAGAGGCAGGAAAAAAATTACGTTGCAAGAAAGAGAAGAGTTTGCCACACAATCCCACTGGATTAGTGCCCAAGTTGGCTCACTTTGTCCACTGCTGTGTTTCCATAGCCCCAGCAACATTTGCTTCATTTGATTTATTAATTCCTGATCATCAGCAAAACTCACTTTCTGAGAAACTAAAGCACTGAAAGAGTCAACCTATGGTGTTTGCCATATTATAGGAAAATGCGCATAATCTGAATCCAAACTATTCTGATTATGACTTCAGTTTATCCCACTATACCACCTGAAGGACATACAAAAGCACCCAGACCCTCTCTCACACAGTGGTTGACTGTCGCAGTTCATCTTCCTTAACTTTGCACGTTAACACCATCCACCATGAGAAAACTAGTCTGCAAGGTAGCAGAAAGATCCTAAGACTTATTGAGCCACCCAAGGCACAGCCACAGAGAGCTGATCTCCTTGAAACCTTTTGATCCATTTCCAGTTGTATGGATCCGCGCTAAGAAGTTCACCTGAGTTAACAAAGCAGATATAACTGACAGATTTGGGTGCTAGCGGTATCATAAGAACAAAAGAAAGAAGTTTTATGGCAAGTTGGAAATACTGTGAAAAGCCACTGTGATCCCCCAGATACTACTGGAAATATAGCTGTAAACAACTGTAACAGCAGCCAGACCAAGAAAACGTCCGAAATCTTTCATGGAAGATAGCGACAGTTTAAGGTCTTACCACTTCTCCCTGCACCATTCAGCCCAGCATTGGCACATTCAGGTCAAATGCATGATCATTCGTCCAGCCCCAGGAAGGAAGCACAGGATTGAAAGAGAGAAAGGCAAAGGTTAGGAAGGAAGCAGACCAGAGCCCAGAAATCAATTCCAGAAGCAGAGCAAATTCTAGTGCTTAAATACTGCAATGTGTGCAGGTAATTGCGGAGCCCAGGGCATGCTGCTGTACCCACAGACACAAACTCCAACTCAAGTTGAAGTTCACCCACAACGGCACCATGAATTGAAGCTCACACTCTACGGGGCCTGCCTGAAAGAGAGGGAAGACAGGAGAAACTGGATGCAACTTACAGCAGGCTTGATAGGTCTGAAGACTTCCTTTTTCTCTTCAGGCTTTTTAGGTGCACTCTCATGACGCTGCGATGGCGAGCCCTCTGATTTGGATGATGCTGCATGTGTCAAGACCCCAAAGGCAACAGAACAAAAAAGATTAAGCCGGGAGCTAAAATACGTTTTCTTACTTCACTTTGGAGTGGGGCAGAGAGGTGAAAAGGCTACCAGGCAGTGCCTGACAGCAAGATGTGAAGTTTCACTGATTCACTATCACATCATCCCTGAAGGATGATACAAAAGCCATCATATGCTTTGATCTGTACAGTTGCAGCCGACCTATGACTGAAGACAAAGTAAACTGTCATACAGTTGTGAAGAAAAGAGGGTAACTCGAGGGTGGCCACAAGCTAGAAAACCTGCATCAGCATCCAATGTACCCCAGCTGAGATCTATCTGTATCAATCTGCACCCCTTCAACAACCTCTGAGGTGACAGGCACCAACCATCAAAAGGTGCCCTTGCACATGGGAGGAAGGGAGCTATGAGAGCATGGAGACTGGGCTGTGCGCACACAGGAAAACGCTGCAGTGACTGAACATGAATCAGAGACCACCGAAACACTTTCACAATGACTTCTGCACCCACTGTCTTTCCCAAGTAAGGACATACAGCCAAGGAGGGCACTGGAAGCTAACTGATCTCTGATACTGCACGCTCAAAGGTCTTTCCCAGTGAGGGTTATCGTTCTTTATTACTGAGTGTTGCACAACTCAATAAATTTAGAAACACGATGTTATGAAGGGTGGAGGCAGGAATTACAGAGCCTCCGGAAACGCTTCCCAGACCCGCTCTGAGACTGCCCGGCCTTGGTACGAGCTTCTCCACCCTTTCCCACAGCAGACGAGGCTCTATATTGCTGTATCAGGGGAGAGAGGAAAGTCTTTGTCACGCACTTCGGTTTCAAATTCCTGTTTCTGAACTCAAACGTCACTCTTCCTCAGTGTTTTCCCAATAATTCATCTGAAAAAGCACTTAGCACTGAGCTGAGGGCATCAGTGATGCTTCACAACCCACTTAGTGGCTCCCTTTGAAACACCTATTCTCTTATTTAGAATGGTTAAAAAAAAAAAGTTCAGGTGGGTTTAACTGGAACTGGCTACCTGCCATTCTTGCCTATCTAACCTAAAGTGGAGAGTTCTCTCAGCCTGCATGCAGCAGGTTTAAATCTGGCTCAGAAGTGTCCTGGCCTCCCAAGCCCTAGCCAAAAAGCCAGCACTGCCTGTCCCTCTCAGCATATCCTCACCCCATCCTGTAAGCCAGTTTGGGGGTGGCCGGTCCACAGTACTCTGCTGAGCTCTGGAAGCAGCCCCTTCTTCTCCCCTTCCTGACGTCAGATGCTCTGTGTCACAGCTCATGGATGCTACTCCCTCGCCTAAAGTCTGGTTCTGGCTGAGAGGCTAGAAAGTTTCTGAGATCTCGTCACTTTAGACGTCACTTCTGCTGCCAGTAATCCCCCACAGCACGCCCAAGATGACCTGTGGCACCAAAAGGCAAGATGTTCATGAATGGCCACACTTTTTCAGTAATCTTAAGCATATTTTGAAATCATTGCAAAAGTTACAGGGCAGGCAACTCAAAGGACGGGAGAAGAAATTTTGCCATTGTTTGTTGGCACATGTGATACACCAAGGGAAACAGTATTAATCATTACAGAAAAGGGATCCAAATCCATCTTCCTTTCATCTCTAACAGACAATGCCAAAAGCTCTCTGAAAATGCCTGGCTTTCCATGAGCCTTCTCCTTCCAACACGGGAAAGGCAAGGACACGTAGGCTTACAAACCTCGTGGAGTTTCTTTGACCTGCTTGGTTATTTTGCTGCCCACTGCCCTGCAGTGGAGAATCACGACGGGACAGGACTGGTGATCGGGACGTTGTTCTCACAGGTACCTTGGGAGAAAAAAGGTTGTGTTAAACCCATGAAGAGGAGAGAGAGAAGAGGAATATTAAACCTCTTCTGCTACATCACATATTCTTAAGATTTTAACAACACTTATTCTAAGTCCAAGCTAGCATCAATGACCAAAAGCAATAAACAAACACCCACAAAACCAAGAGCCTTAGTTGGGATGCTGTTCAGATTTTGAAGAGAACTCAAAGTTTAGTCTTAACATTAAGTAGTGTTTAATAGCTACCACACAAACACATACACACCCCACTACCCTCCAACTACCGAGACATTTAAAAAGAATATGGCATTTTGACTGAAGCAGGGGAGGCACAAAGCAATTTGCTGAAACAGCATGAGAATTAGGAGAATAAGCTCAGGGGAACCAAACAAATGCCCGGGAATGGATCAGCAGGAGGCAAAGACTGGTGGGGGAGCAAGAATATACTCAGAAGAAGAAAATACCAGTGGATGGGGGAGGGTGGGGTGGGAGGGGGAAAGGAGGAGGAAATCTCTTGAATGTTTCCTTTTTGTTCAGTTCCATCTCAATTTTAAATACGTGTATGATTCATAGTTTGGGTTGATAACAGATGAAGAGGAAAATTAAGTCTGAGCAATAGCCTCAGGGATATTTTAAATTCTTTCCTGAATATGGTAATGATTTGTTAACTTTGCATAATAAATTGTCTCTCTGAAATAGCTGCATTCTATAAATAATTGCCAATTTTATATGAAGCTTAAATATTGTACTTAAGGTTGATTACCATTAACCCATTGACTGAACACCTACATTATGATCTGCCTTCCAAAATACTGTTACCAATGCTGGCACAAGGGCACGGTCTTCCCAGTGCCCAGAGTATCACATCCTTTAAAAAAGAATAATTAATAATAAAAAAATAGCACACATCTGTCTTTCTACTCCTTACCCTTGGAGGCACCTCGTCACTGTCTGATCTAGACCAAGCCTTTTGAGTGGGGTCGGGTACCTCCGACTTAGAGTCAGAACTCTGATTTAGCACTTCACTGCGTGAAGGTGGGTATGGGTCCTGGGAACGAAGATGGTGATGAGCAAATTTGGGAGAAGGGTCACTGAAGGAATGGGATCGCGAGACAGGGGAAACATTGTTCTTGAGAGATGCCAGATGGGACCACTGTACCTTACAAGAAAACAAAACATAAAACATTCAATGCGCTCAGTATAACTGGCTTTCCAATTAACACAGAATAAAGGCAAGTGGGGCAGGCAGAGACAAATTGGTTATGGCATTAGGTAAGCGTGGGGTGGAATCGATGCACTTAAAAGCAAGGCAAGCGCCCAAAGAACGTAACAGACTGAAAATACAGCACATACGCATTTTTTGTGAGGTACGCTCTCCACATACACATACACTGGTGCCCAGAAGAAAAGGCGACCTAATATCCGCACCATGAGCCCAAGTCCAAAGGCCACTCAAGACAGAAGTTGCCTGCTGTTCCCCAGTCTTCAGTGGCCTTTGGTCAGGTCTCATGGCAGCGCTGGTGGGCTGGGAAATTTGAAGTGGATATCCAATTGAAAAAATGTACAAAATTAAAGAATGCTGTAAAATGTGCAAACCAACAGACATTCACGTTACCTAATAACTTTGGGAACTAGATACAGTTCCAAACTGTTGGAGAAAGACCATAACACAAAAGCCTTTATTCCTTTACAGTCATTGCAATATATATAAAAAACAACATAATATATATTGTATATAGTATACATATGTACAATGCATATTATACTTACACCATATATGTACCATATACTGTACATATATACATATTTATACACAAACTAAGTACACAAGTACACGCACACATATTCAATTACACATACTAAGAAGGCACAAGAGTGACTCAAGAGTTAAAACTCCACTGGGATTTCCACTGAAATCCATATTGACCCTTCAGCCTACTCCCTCCTTGTGCGTAAATCTGCATTTCAGGGTTAATTTCTAAAACTAAGGAGGAGGAAAGGTCATAACTGAGGAATACACTGTTTTCACATCTAATAATTAAGCAAATTTTGCTTCAACCCCCGTTTCAGTAGGCTGATTGTATTTGTCTTTATATGATTATTATTTCCTTGATTTTAATACACACAGCTGTTGAAGAGCCTGATTATCCTCAATATGAGTGGAAGACCAGGACTTTAAAAGTAACTGGCACAGAGAGCATGAAGATACAAGTCCAATGTTTTGAAATAGTCATAGAGGTTTGAATAAAAGCCAGGAATTAATGAGTAAGAGATGAAGTTCTGTCCTGATTTCTCCCACTCTCCCGTCTGCTCAAATTCTCCTGTTGCCCAAAAGAGCTGCAATACCTAGTCGCAGTCAGGGACGGTTTTAGCTTGCACTGTCATCAACAGACTTAATCTGAGAGAAGAAAATTCTGCATGGAAACAGAGGAACTGAATGCAGAACTATACTCTTTAATTTATCTAAACCACTCAGAATTTATGCACTATGTCTAAGTTTTAGAAAAAGGTTACTTTTTCAATTCATACTGTAATTCCTATGATATACAGATATCAAGATCTGGAGGCTCTTCATCAGAAAACAACAGAATGACGGCAGCCACACAGCTCAATGGTTTCAACCTCTTTTTGATTTTCCAGGGGCGGTACAGAGCTCTATTTAGCAACTCTAAGCCTACTGACAACAAACTTGCTTTTCTTAGCCATGTTTTGTAAATCTCTTTGAAGCAGTGCTCATACTATTATAAACTACTTTTTTAGTTAGCTTTTTCTGCAAGAGTTTAAAAAGCTAAGCCAGCTCACTTCTTTCCTGAGCATCCTCTTTGGTAGTAAATATCTTGCACGAATCAAATTCTGAATTGTAAAAGTGTACTGCAACTGTCATCAGTGTTTAGCCCACCATTCCTCTGTTGCACAAGTAATAACAGAATGCATCTGCTCTAATCTAATATTAAAAAACTACCCCACACCAATCTCACAAATCCATCAGTTTATCAATAAAATAAGCAAAAACAGACAAGGAGCAAATCTACCAAATAAAGCGCTTTGTGTAACAGCACTACTCTTTACATAAGTCTTTCTACGTGCCAAGATCTGCAAATCTGAATGAAACATGTTGGGACTTCTGTTGGCTCACTGAGATTTTTCTGGGCACTTACCTGGGGCTCCATTGGCCTCTGCAGGGCAGGCTGAGCAGGTTCTGAGTTTCCATTGGAAAAGGACTCTGATCTTGAAGGCACTGGTGGCTCCAACACTTTGCCCATCTGCTTAGACTGTGCTTCAGGGGACCCCTGATTAGTTTTTCTAAACCTCTCCTCCACCTAAGCCAAAATAAATGGAGGTTAAGACTGGAGTCAATAAAACCAATTACAGTAGAAACATGCAGGTGACTACCACCTTTCATTTACCATAAAGACACCAAATACATTTGGGGCTTGACAGGATATTTTTCCCCTACTGCTTTCACCAGCAACGTAAAACACAGAGTGAACTGCACCAAAGTGGCAAGTAAGCCAATATGGAAAATCCATACAAGCAAAGAGGTTACAACAGGCATTAAGATATGAAGTGATATGGTGAAAGACCATTATACAGGGCTTCTTTCTGCCTAGGCTACTTACAGTATTTTCATCCCAGACAATAAACAGGATATATGAAAACAGCAACAACTTTATAATATAGAAGTATGTTTCCCATTGCTGTCCCTTACTGTAACTACCCACCTTACTCAAAACAAAGTTATTTAGTTATCTGCTCTCCTGTGCTTGTCTCTTTGGCAGTGCAAGAAGAGGTAATACTGGAGGCTGTTCAGCTTTAGGTAGTACAAAACTGTAGGACTGGTCATTCTCTCTTTTATCGGATAGTCCCAAAACAACGTCACAGACTGCAGAGAAGAGCCCCAGTAGTTTGTTTGTGGTTCTCAGGGACATGTAGAAGTGATCATACACTAACCTAGAGAGCTTTGTGAGGGGAAGACTAAATCAGAAAGTGCTCAGTCCTCAAAAGAACATCAGGTGAGGTCCCCTTGAAGAAACATCAGCTATTCCGTGGCCACGGCATAGCAAACAAAGAGAGCAGTACGAAGAGCAAGAGATGGAGGGAGGTTGCAGGCAGAAAAGAAACATCGTCCCATTTGCTAAGATGGTCTGCTGCTGGAATCAGGGGACCGTGTGCGTTTCTGCCAGGGCAGCTGCTGCTGAGGAACACTGAACTCCCAAGTTCTTTATCAAAGTGTCAAAGACAGACCAAACTGGCAGCTTGGGCTGAATTCATTTGTTGAGATGCTGCTCACAACATATGCTTTAACCTTTGTGCCTGGAGAACAAAACCAGTACTGAGGTGGTTTCCTAATTGTTTCCTAGCAGCGATGGTCTGGAGAGACTGGCTGTTCATATTCCCATGTCGGAAGACAGAGGCAAGTTTCCAGGACTCCTTAGCTGGAATGCTTTACAAATACAACCTGCCTCTGCTTTCCAAAATTTGAGGACAGTAACAGTTCGCCTGTGGGAATAAGCAGACAGGCTTCTACCAGGTCTACACAGAATACACCATGTCTGGGGAAATAAAACAATACTGGAGGCAAGCACCTTCACCCTACAACCATTTTCCCCATCACGTTCAACTTCATAGGGCCATCCTTTAAAGTTTAAAAAACAGGCCAGACTCCTTGTTATGAATAGATTAAGGAAAAGCCCCAAGTCTTTCTGTCTGAACTAAAAGGCTTTCATGTCTCTAGCTGCAGATGATGGGTGGTTTCCTCCACAAAGCACACAGATTGCATGAGATGCAAGTCCTTAAAGCCAAGCAAGAGGTGGGAAGGAGACAACCAGTGCATCCCTGGACAGAAACAGGCCCTGTTCCAGTCATCTGACTGTCTGGACCAGAAAACAGTATTAAGTCTCATTTCTTGCTCTAATCTCTCGTTTCCCAGAGCCAGTCTTAGAAGTCCTTTTCCTCATATCCCCATTGCCACTGGAATGGGATAAAAAAAACCTAATCCCCATTACACTTTGCCAGAAGAGGAATGTTGCCCCACTTTGGCTTATCATCCTGACGGTCAGCATCTCCGTAGATGGAGACTATCTTTGGGGAGCAGTATACCTGAAAGTATGGGGCACAGAATACTCACTCCAACTCCAATGTCAAGAAAGACATTAGAGTTAATGCCTGCTTTTAAGACTAACTGGTGTTGTTCTCATTGCCATGCACTGATATGGCTATACTTCTACCACACATACACAGCAACCTCTTGGAAGATCTGACTCCTAACACAATTTTTCTGTGCCTTCACTTTACTCCTTCTAGGTAAAGCAATTACAAAAAAAAAAAAAAAAAAAAAAAAGATGAAAGAATTTTCATGAGGTTCTCTCCTTTTCCACTTTGAAAGGAAAATGGGAGACGAGGAACAGAAACAGTTCTACATCCTTCCAAAGCTAGCCTTCAGGTTGGACAGGAGTGCTGGTCTGGCACTGTGCTTTCACCAAGGTGGGTCATGAGCAAGGAGAGGAGGGCTGGTTCCATGCCTGTATCACCACATACCGGACAAGTCTGAACTTCTTCCAGGAGAGAAATATGTACCAGATACTTCAGCCACCAAGAGCAATGGATGAGATAGCACAAACACAGTTTATGAACTTGGAGAACAGCATCTACAAGAAAACAAGTTTGTGCTCACCAAGCCCAAACAGCAGTACTTCAAAGGAGTACTACTGGACAAAGGTGGACTGAAAGCTATTTTATCACATTCAACAGCCCCAAGAATTTTTTTGTTCTCATTCCAAAATGTATTTACCTAGTTCCCACATGCTGGTGATGAATGCTATTAAGACTTTTGATCAGTATTGCCCAGTCTAGTGGTTTGTGGGCAGTATGGTGCTCAAGGGAAGCATAAGACCGCTGAAAGAGAGCCAAGTATGCATCAAAGAGGCAATTACATGCTTAGCAATGTTACCTGTGGACCAGTGAAGACAGGGGACCACTCACTGAAACAAACAGTACTCCGGTGATTTCAGATTAATTTGTGCGTGCCCGAACCCCAAGAAGGCAGCACCACAGAGTTTCATAAGAGCAGGACGTGATCTCAGAAGAGAATACTTAACACTCCAGAAATTAAACTAATGAAATTGAGGTTTGCGTTCACAAGAAACAAATTTCCAAAAGCATGGGCTAAGGCACCAAATGTGCAAACAGGCGCTGTGTGCAAGCACAGGTTGCAAAGGTTCATGCTCTCCAATTGCCTTCCAATTTCCGATCACCAGTACTTGCCAGAGACACAGACCGCCAACTGCACCAATGCTTCCTGTGAAAACATGTCTGATGAAGTGCAGATGAGATGAAATCCCTGACGTGATACTTCCAAAACCAGGTCCCCTCAGTCTGCAGCGTTCCAGAATCTCTTTTCACGCTTTATACCTCAAAACTCTGAACTCCAAGGACTGCAGCAGCAGTACTCGCAACTCCCTGTCAGAGTTGGAAACCAGCAGCCAACATTCTGAAGTGCCCTGTCCCTTATGAGCGACACTTTGGCCTCCAGCAGTACTACAGCACAACCACAGTCAGTGCGATACCAACAGGCAGGGGCAGAGGAGCAGGTAGCCGACTCCTGCCCACAAGCAGGACTTACCTCACGTGCTCTTTCAGCAGGCTCATAGTGGGATTTTGGCTCAGGGGTATGATAGCTTTGTTTATTCCTTTCTTGCTGCTGCTGCTGCTGCTGCTGTTGCTGCTGGTGCTGCCGCCGGTGATCTGCCGGTGTTCCTCCATCTCTCGCCATCTGTATTCCTTTGAGAGAACGCGTGAGTAATTCAAGACATGACATTGACTGTATGGTGGACGTGTTCCTATCCATCCCATGAAAAATGCACCTTTCTGGTTGTTGTTGCTTTTTTGTTGTTGTTGTTTTGTTTATTTCATTGTTAAAGTGTAGCCAAGAGCCAAGTTAGACCAGTATGGCATGTGTCTCGTGTTGCAAAAGTTGAGAGTGTACTGCTAAGCTTGACATGATTGGAGAGTTATGTCAAAACTGTTTTTTTATTACACACACACACACAAAAAAAGGAGTTATTTATACTAAATCTTATTTATACTAAATCCAGTGTAAAGTTCATAAAACAATGATTTAGACCAACACTAGGCCATTGTACCCGGGGGTGGATTTACATATCATGTGTGCTTTTGATCTGCCACATAAGCACTCTAGTTCTTCACTGAATGCCAAGGTCTGTTCAGAAACTCGACCACCACACCAGAACTGCTCCACTTTAACATAAAGCCTGCTCTTACTGCCCAGAAAGCAGTGTGACCATACAGCACTTCTCATATGTGCCTGTCAGCCCACGACGCTAGCATAAATGGCCTTTTAATCAAGCTCCTTTGTTGTCACACTGTCAGTGCAGCTGTGCCCGACTGAGGGAAGCCTAGGACTGGCGGGTAAATGGATCCTATAGCTACTGAACAAAACAGATACAGTGCTTTACCAGTAACATGGCCTGCTCCTGGAGCAGCTGCTGCTGTAGAATTTCCAAGTGCCGCTGCTCCTCTTCTAGCTGTCGCCTGATATACTCCTGTCACATAGAAATTACCCAGCAATAAATTTATTCAAAAGGAATGCATCAGAACCCCCTGGGTGGAACACCACACGCTACTTCCCCAGTTCAGCTTTAACAAGAAACACACTTCACGATGGATTAGTGCCTGCAGACCAATTGAGGAAGCCCTGCCTCCTGAGCATTGAATTTTGGCCCCTTCCGTCCTGAAATCTGGACTCCTGCAAATGTTGCCGGCACAGGCCAGAGCTCGTATTTTGGAAGTGGTTTCAAGAAGCAGCAAAATGCACTTGAAGGTTTTGGAAAGTTAAAACACAGCAAGTCTGACTCAACACAGCCAACACAAAGTCACATGCAAGTTGTATTAAACATTAGTTCGTTGCACTGGTGCGATGAACTGTTAGCAACAGCTAGAGCCAGGCGTAGTGTAGGCAGACCTGGAGCAAGCTCCCCCAGAGGGGCTCTGCCAAGTGCAGCTGGGACCTGCCCTGCCATCTCCCCTGCCGCCCTCACCAGAAGCTTCTCCTGAGCAGATGCTGCCAGCCTTGCTGAATTATGCGATGGTTATGACACAAACAAACATCCACCAGGAAACAGATATTAGACCAAACTCGCTCACTCTTGCCACCTAGCCATCTCTTCACCTGCAGCCTCAACAGGCCGAGAAGTTTACCCGCTGCTTTGCTTCACCCCCTAGAAGAACTCCAACTCTGAAGCACCAGACCCAAGCCAGTAACATCCTATCATGCAATTAATGGAAGTATGTAACATGTGCATGCGCACACACACAAGCACACGCACACATTTACAGTGTATGCATAAAGAAATTAATGGATCAGTGATACAGTGATGGGAGCTATAGAAAGTCTTGTGACAGACTGATGAGATACACTATACTGTTGTTATGCATGTTGGCCGAGCCATACTTTGGGTTAACAAAGATTCTAAGAGGGGGCATGTCTTTTCTTCTTAAAAAAAAAAATAATAATTCAGAGTGGTTCAGCTTAGCCACATCAATTAACCATTTGTCATTATTGGCACTGTGCGTAATTAGCATTTCCACAGTTTAAAAAGCAGCTGGGGGAATACCCGGTGTCTGCCCAAAAGCAAATTGCTGTGCCATAATTAGAGATTTTCCATATATTTATTCCCATTGGTTAGTCTTCTCTCCTTTTGACTCAAAAATCTTTGAAATATACACAAACACAAAAGAATCCCCCAGTAACACAATCATCAATGATCTCAAATACAGTGACTTCATGTAAGAAAAAATTAAAGAATGTCAGGCCAAAACCAGCATTCCTGAAGCTAATGGGAAATTTACAATCAGCCTCTAGGACAGCAGTTTTTGGCACTTTATTTGGGATCAGTATTTTGTAGTACATGCAAAGTAATTACTACCCTGATTATCACCCTGATTGAAATTTTTAAAGGATTTTAAAACATGCAGATTTCATGCATAAATATGGCAGCTGCATTTCACAGTTTAAAAGGTTTCTCACCTGTGCTTTCAGGCCTGAACTGACATACATTTTTAGAGCTGATTTTAGACAGACAGAGTAAGAGAAAGAGATTGCATATTTGAGTTTTAAGGAGGAAAATCCCCTGCAGCTCAAAGGTTCCATCTCAAATTCAGAATATTCAAAGTTTATGACGAGCCTCCGACCAATTCTGGGTGCCAGAAGTTGACATGCAACAGAGCTGCCCTTCTCTGGGAGGCCTTCTGAACAAGGGCATGTCCTGCAAGAGCCACTGATGCAGCAAGACGAGCCTAGAAATGACTTTCAGCCCCAAGTGATGATTTTGCCAATTCTGATGTTTTTAGTCAAGCCCAGCGGCACGAGTTGAATTTAGAATGAGCACCACAACAAAACTTTCTTTTTTTGAGGGAATATTGAGGCTGCCAGAATTTTCCATAAAGCCCTACAATCTATGTTAGTGCATTTGCTGTCAGAGACAACAAAGATGAAAGGCTCAGCGTTAGGTTGCCTCTAAGCTGTTTTAGGCTTACTAATTTTTTAAAAAATTAAATCAGAATTTAGAAGAAACAAATCTATTGCGCATATATCTGTATCACGGACTCACCTGTTCCCTTTCTACCCTCCTCTTTTCCTCCTCTGCTCTTCTTCTCTCTTCCTCTTCCTTACGCCTCCTCTCCATTTCTTCCAGACGTCTCTTTTCTTCCTGTTCTCTCCGCCTTTGCTCACGCTCCTGTTGCCTTCGAGCTTCCCGTTCTCTCCTTTGTTGCTACAAAAAGGGAAAAGAAACCACAAAGTTTTACTTTCCTTATCAAAGAAAGAGGTGGAGTTGTTTTCTGTTGTGAAGAGAGGGATTTACCAGGACTGGCAAGCTCTGCAACTGAGTGACAAAACATTTTTATGCAAGTGTTCCACCAGGAAACTAACTCATACCCAGCACACAAATATCCCTAAAAGCAGCCTCGCTTACTCTGTCCGATTTCTTCACGCGCACACACACAAAGTCACATACCATATTCCTGACAACCGAGGTGTGGAAGCTCACTGCTGCTCTTCAAGAAAGGCTCACGCTGAAATCTCAATCTTTGAACAACTGCTGAACTCAAATCTTAACCAGACAGACAATTTTCTTGACTTCAAGACACTATGTAAATGTTGCCAAAAGCGAATTATCAGCCCCACTGCATCAGCTAAAGCTCAAATGACAACTATCTGAGCTTTCAGTAAGCACCTTCTCTCTTAACACAGTTCATAGGCCGCTAAGAATTTGGAGGTGTTGGCCCAACAATCAAACTTGATTTAATGCACTGCCCAAAACTTTCCCTAAGAGGGAAGGAAGGAAGGCTGACCAACAGCACCTCAGCCCCTCCCAGAACATCAAAAGCACCTATATGTAAAAGAGGAAAAACAGCTGAGCTAAGCTTTTACACTTACACAGATAAGCTTTCACGCATGGCCCAAATACAAAGTGGTGCTGATAAGTCTGCTCAAGTCTGAAAAGAACCTGGAAAACAGCTCTAGAAAGCATGAACTGACTCATTTGTGTCTACAGAGCACCATGTATGACTTCAGAGGAGACATTTTAAATGCCCCAGCAGTCGTGACCAACTCTTGCTGCGCTTCTACAGAAGCATCCAGTTACTCCACCTACCCTGAAATCCCAGGCAGCCTCCCACAACTGCCTAAGTGTCAAAAGACCCAGCTGTCTCCTGCTCAACCATCAACTGGGAATATCTCTACAACATTTACTTCCATTACAGATTTCTATAATATGCTACAAAACTATAGAAAAAACATAAACCAAAAAAAGCACACTCAAATCCGAAGAACAAAATGAAAACCTACTTTGGTTATTCTTTTTCATGCTTAGGTTATGGTTAACACTATCACCATTTTCTGTTGAAGCAAAGCTGCCACAGATTTGCCACTCTTAAGGCACTCCAAGTAGCCTTGCAAGAGCACTGAGACGGAGCTTTTAATTGGGTTCACAAACCCAGTTACTGGTGTGTATTTCATAGTTATGCTCAACTGAACAAGCAAAGGCCAATCTATACTCCCTGTGTTACTTCACAGGATGAGCTTTCTCTGTCCAGCACGTTACCCTGCACGACTATAAAGCAACTGAAAGCTCAACAACCTTTTCCATCTTCTGGAATCGATACTGACATGACAGTGGAGAAGAAACGCTGGGGGGGGCGGAAAAGATAGTTAAGAATTGGTAGTACTTAAACAAAATAGGCTGGTTTATGATTCTCTTTAACGAGCTGCAGTTTTGGGCAAGATGCAACTTTCTTGAAGACGACTGTTCACATACACCCACTCTGTAACTACGACGCCTGCCTTCCTGGCCCACAGCGTCATTCTGGGTTCACCACCACCTTCCCGTGCAACAAGACATAAGTTCTTTTCTCCCCCATGTTTTCTGTATCTTCTCAGAAACACAAATTGCTTACTCTTGCATCTCCTAACTAAAGCATCTACCAGCCTTTTCTCTCGTACTTAAGCAAGCTCTCTTCAACGAATGTAGATTTAAAAACAGTAAAAGTGCTGCAAGGCACCTACAGCACACAGTGCATTTCATAGGTTTCGCTGCTTCCCCTCCTTCATTTTTTAAGCACTGTAAAAGGATTAAGTAGGCACTTTTATTTCTGAATATACACATCTGTGTCAAACAAATTCTATATTTAAGTCAATATATTCAGATGCCTCTTGGCTAATCAACTCTGACAGGCTCTTTGTTTATGAAAACTAAGATGTGAAGTACAATAATTCTGCTGCCCTGAGGATGCAAGAGACAGCACACTGCTGACTGGTTAATATGCACATTTATCAACTCAAACGCTTCGTAAACATATGAAGCCTGTCTGTCTAACAATATAGTGTTGACATTGTTAAGGGGATATATTGCAGATCTTGGGATGGCGTCATTCTCACTACAAGGAAGATGGGCAGAGCTTAGGTCTTTCAGATGAAGCAAATTCATCGCTTCTTGAATCAATTCAGAAGTATCCAGCAATAATTACAAGTAACTGAACTTAGTATGAGAAAAATAAATTACAAATTGTCTATGAGCGCCAATTTCCCATGGCATCATGATATAAACAAAACCAGCTGTTAAAAGACGAGATTTTTAAGCAAACCTTGAGCCAGTTTGCTAGCTCAGTACCCATAGTAGGTATTTATTATCCAGCAAAACAAAAAGAGGGATTCTCTGCCACCAATGTGTGTTTTAGTCAAACCTCCAAAGCACAAATGTGCTATTGTCTACGTGCCAAAGTACAGGGAGAGATGGGTTTCTTGGCATCGCTTTCGCCTTCCCATCAAGGCGCCGCCTCAGCCCCTCGCCATGATGCTGGGAAGGAAGGCACTCAGCACTGCAGGAGCCCACCCCAACGCCCCCATGATCCACTTATTCCAACACCCAGCTGTAAGAGAAGTTTCACTTTCTGTGCACGTGGCCTCCGAAACCCAAGCAATTGAACTACTGGCCGCTAACAAAGTGGAATTTACTTTTAACAACCCCAAGGTAAGGAAACCTACAGTGACAAGCATCTCTCGAGTCCTAGTCTGCATCTTGTCATAGTGATGGCAAAGCCGGTTGATGGCAAGTCGTCGTCGACCCAAGCTGGCTTCAGAAGCAGCCCTTTACCTGACTTCCTACCATCTTTCTGTTGGCACAAGGTCGCCTTCCTGACTGCCTCTAGCAACAATTCCATGAGGACACATCAAAGCCCTCATCACCATGTTCCTTTTGCTTGCCCGAAGCAGGGGAGAGGGACAGGGAAAACCATTAGTTAAAACCAATATCAGCTCTGTTTACAAAACCTGGGTTTCTGAATTTAGTAAGTGTGATTTTTAGATATTATAATTCTTACCATGCACTACAAAAAAGGCCTGATGTAAAACACTGTTGCTTAATAGACAGCACGTATAGATCTGGATTCACTGAAATTATGGATGCATATCCAGACCAGCTTTCACTGGATACAGTATTACCAACTTTCTTACACTTGTCAGATGGAAAGCTTCTTTTCAGGTAGCTAACCATTAACCAGAAGGTAAGGGCAGGAACTCTTTAAAGGAATTTCAGAGATGCAAAGCAGAATTTTGACAGAGCCCATACAATCTCAAATTTCTGCATTTCACAAAATTGGCATTTACTACGCCAACACAAAAAAACAATACTGAAAACACGGTGTCAATACTCTGGCTCCTTGTCCGGTTTTAGGGTGCATTAATGACGATCTTACAATGGTACCCAACATCTCCAAACTGGAAGACCATGCAGTAGAGCATGATTTACCAGGAGGGGGCAATGCAACTACACATGCAGTTGGTGTATACCAATGAATTCAGGACCTCGTTCATACAACTGAAATGCTGAAGACAAATATAGATCCTCTAGTTTTATATTCATAAAATATTATTACTGTCATATATCAGATAAAGGTTGATAAATATATAATATTAATGATTTCTTTCACAAAGAATTAAGCAGCCTGGTATCAACTTACAAAGAGGACTGGAAAAATTAATAAAGAGACTTTTGTTTTGCCCACACTAGAGATCAACCAGAAATGAAACTTCTTGCTCAGTATCAATCCAAACTTGCAAGCAATTCAGATTAGGTAAGATATGAATAATCTCCCCTTCTGTAAAAGAAACAAAGCCCTGGCAAAAATCGCCTGCAGGTACACCTACATTAGCATCTTGGTTCAGATCAGGAGTGCTTTTTTGAAGTGAATCATCCAATCATCTCCACTTACCAGGTTTTGTTTCATATTTTGAAGAGGTCTTGGAGTGCCAACCACTCCTTTTGGATGAAATTAAAAAGGCAGATGCACTCCAACCACAAGCAGGCACACAGTCTAGACCTCAGCTAATCCAAAGGAACTCCTCCTGTCTTCAAACACAGGGAGTGAAGTCTTTGCGTCCTCAGCACTTCAATTATTGTGCTCCACAAATCTGCTTCTACTGGACTGTACTACTCGCCAGTAGAGCTATAACCTACCACTTCAAAAACATCGGCCTCAGGTTCTCATAACCAGGGACACACATCATTTAATGAAGTTATACTGAATTGTGGATGTCCACACAGAACGGGATTCCACCATGGCTAATTCTGAATTTCCCAAACCAGACTTAGATTTGCAAAGTACAGATTCAAATGCCTTTCCATACCCGTCACACTGAGCACTGGTGTCTCCATGTTGCTGAACAGAAACGTGCTAGAACAGCCTTGAACAGCCGAGATTTCTTGTTTTAACCATCTGAACACTTATATGACACATAGCTGATATTTATGCAACTAATCTTTATATGATTTTTAAAGGAGAGGTTGGGGGAGGACAAGCAATCCCCTTCACAAAATCTTTTAGGTAATTTTCTGCACTTTGACCACATATCATTTCCACTTCCTAAGTAATACACAAATGATACGGTTCCTGCAACAAGGAATTTTAGAAGTCACCTATATGCCTTTTTAAAAGTAGTATTTTCTCTAACACTGCTGAGAATTGCAGTTGTTGGCAGATGTCCTAAACACCGTTCCTGTTGCAGTCTCGGTCAAAACTGTCTAGGCTTTCTGCCAGCATTGTGAGAACAAGCCCTCAATTTTAATTTAGGAAGCTGGAGGGGGAGAAGGAGGGGGGGAAGTATAAGCAACTGGTCCAGGGAGATTATCTAATGCATAAAATTCCTCCCAAAGAATGTCAAACTGGTATACCCAAACACACACTTACTCTACACAAGAAAAAATTACAAGAAAGCAAGGCCTGGTAAAACTGATGAAAGCCCAGAGACTCAATGTCTGACGCTAACCTTAACTCACATTACCAAGTGTTTCATTGTTTACTGCCTTCATCAAAATGGGGGTGAGTTAAGGACAAAGTGACAACATTTCAATATTTTGGCCTTCAATTGTGTCACAACACTGATGTTTATCTATATATGTGTCTACCACCCTTCCCCCATCTCAAAGAGTGTTTTGGCTGTTGTTTTGTTAAAAATCATTTGGGATCACACATTTTTCCAACACAAGATCCAACAAACTGAGGTTTTTTTGAAAACTCAGTGCAAGTCTTTTTTTTAACTCACTTTAAGAACAATACGCCTGGCCCATCACCTGCAAAAGGAAACCTTTATAGCTCATCATTCATATTTGTGTTTCCAAGGGAACCAGACTGAGGTTATAGACTCAATCTTACAAAACGAATTTGACATAGTTTACTGTGTAAACTTAGTCTGTAATGCATCAATCTACGTTATGTGCGGTCTTGTGGTTGCTGAAGTCACTATTTCTGTGTGGTATTTTAAACAGCAGGACTAATCAAACATAACTTACAGGCAACTGCCTTTTCTTTTTAATTGCTCATTAAATTATGATTTCTGCAACATCCCCAAAAGGTTCAACCCTGTGCAGCAAAGAGGTGCATTGCTTTGTCTCCATTACTAGCAGCAGCATCTCCTTTATTTTGAAGAGAAATTCCAGATTTTAAAGGTTGCATTGATTCCTAAAGTTAAGTGACCTAGATAATTTAATCGTAAACCCCTTCCTTGCCAAAAAAGTACCACCTGCAGAACCTCGGAGATTAAACAGGCATTTAAAAGAACTAATTGATTCCCACACTAAGCACAATTTTAGAGGCCAAGTGGTATCTCAACTTTTGCCCACCTTTTCACAGTAAGGTACTTTATTTTCATATTGGCCCATGCTCTCTTTTCCTAGCCTCTTTTTATTATCTGCTCCTCCCACAAAATCGCTACAGAGCCAGAGTCTAAAACAGTTGGAAGAGCTATGATGTTTATCTTGGCGATCTCAGAAGGGTGGAGAAGAAACTGAAGAGAAATGGAGTTTATATGCCTCCCCCTTGACCCTCCTCCTGGCTTCACGTGTGGCTGAGTCTTTGCTACCAATCTCTCCTTATAGCACCACTAAACGCACTTGCACATTGAAAACGAGGGATAAGGAGCATAATGTGACCTGGAAAGCTATTTAGAATTTTGCATTTTTTGTTATGTAAACACATCACGAGATGCAAATCAACATTTGGTCCTGGTTGCGTCCTCGTTAAACATTACCAGGATTTGGAAAACCAGACTGGATGTATTTTTTCCATCCTTGCTAAGCGAGCAGTTGGAACAGCAATTCAAGCAAGAGGTCATTTAAGGACGACTGGAATTTGACCCTGCACTTCCTGAGGAGCCAGAGGATTGGTTTCACTTCAGCTCTGTGTCATACCCAGCTCTGGCCTGAAGAACTGTTTTGAAATACTCCCACCTCTGAAGCTCACACTGCATATTCCATCTGCATATATATAAATGCACACGAGATCTTAGGAGGTGAAAAGTATGACAGAACAATATTGTACATGTACGTTCATTTTCTTTTATCTTCAGGTAGTGTATGCAAATTGCACACTTACCATATCACAAAAGTATGATTTACATATTTGTAATTTTTGCAGAAGTATAATTTTAACACTGATTTAAATCTAGGTGGCTTTTAGTCATCATGCTACTCTGCATGAGAGAGTAATACACAAAAAAATAGGCTTCTGCCTCCCATGAATGAGTGCCAAACACAGATGTTTGAGAAAACTTTAAAGGGAAATTTGAAGCATGTCATGGCCCCAAAAAAAGTAATCTTGAGGCACTGCCCACTTTAAAAAAATCAAATCCATCTGAGAATAATTAATGTCGCCCCTTCTCTACGGCTACCTAAAGTCTAGACATGTTGCCTCTTCTTTGGAACAGAGACCAAGACGCAGCCTCCCCCATTTACCTTCAAACAACCCAGCTTTGGCTCCTGTTCCCTCCATAGGAGCTGCTGGATATTCAAATGCTTCGGAAGACGGCTCATATCCAAGTAGCCAGACATGGATTTAAGTGCTCTGCTCTATGTTTGCCAGTGGATTTACACATGTTGTTTTCTTTCCTGAGATGTGCTGGGGCTACAGGGAACTCTTTTGAAATGGGCGTGGGAATGGGAAACAGAAGAGGAAGAGGAGCTTTTTTGCCCCCCTGAGCTCCAGCCTCCTGTCTCTACCTCTTCTAGCCGCCTTCTTTGCTCCTTCTGCTGCTCGATGCGCTTCTGCCTCTCTGCCAGCAGCTGCCTCTTGTATTCCTCCTGCTCGCGGAGCTGCTGCTCCTGCAGCAGCTGCTGTCTCCGAAGGGCCTCGGACCGTTCCTTGTTTTCCTGCTGTAGTCTCAGGAAATCACGTCGGAGGGTTGATTCTCCAGGCACATTGACAATGGAACTGCAACAAGAGGAAGTTAAAGCCTCCCATACAATAATGCCTGATAGGCCATTAAATACCCTTTCCAAAGCAGGGGAGCATTAATAAAATATAGCCTGATGTTAAATTTTAATCTCGTTTCTTTCAGAGCGAAGACACTGGATGCATGTCAAATACATGCTCTCAGTGGTAGGCGTGAAATGAGGCCAAGCAAAATAAGGACCAACTCTGACATTTTGGAGCCCCTGACCAATCATATTTGGCACAAATCTCCCTCCATCCAGAGCTCGCTGGCTCTACACCATACGAGGGGGAGCTTTAAAACCTTTAGCAGTCACAGAATAGGTATTCGGATCCTTCAGGTGGTTTGTGTGGCTTCTGCTTTCACTTAATAAGAGACAGAAATTTAGCATGCTACTGATTTATAGTCACAGACCTCTAGACTTACTTGGCTTGGACTGCCCAGAGCCCTCCCAACAGCAATTATTACCTTGGCTCTCCTTCTTGTTCAGGCACTTCCTCCTCTTCTTCCTCACTTCCACTATATTCATACTCCGTCTCATCTAATGGGAAAGAAACAAAGGCCCAGATAGTGCTTATCTTTAATTGTAGGACAGGGGGGAGTTGCAGCAGTGCCTTAGTGAACCAGTTCTTATCCCCTTCTGTGAGAAGATCTATCGCAGAGCCTAGAACTCATTCTGCATATACAAGCCCATCTTCCCACACTTGCAAAGCAGCACAGTGCTTTTCAGTAGACTTTCAGCAAATTCCCTGAATGACACCAGGTTCTATATGTAAGACAAGACACCTGGAGGACCTCGGCACCACCTGAATAAAGAGTACAGGCTGCACAAGACATTTGTTTCATTGCTCTTGTGATGGGTTATTTCCTGCGAGTCTGATTTATGGCTTCATTCCAGGAATGAACCTACTACAGACCAAGAAAGGGAAAGGCATATATTCCAATATCCTCCTAAATACTGTTTAATGCTAGTACAGAAGAGTGGCCCAGAAGTGAGTAAATTTGATGTATATGAAAATAAGACACTTGAAATCAATACTTTCTCTGTAGAGGACAGAATAAAAACCTAAAAGCCTGATGATCATCGAAACGTGAATTAAAAAAGAATCTTTCAAGGGTTTGGGATGTTTGGAGCTTTTCCAGGGGTGGGGACTTAGAATGTAAAGTAGGACAAAAATATGTATTTTTAACAAGCTGCAATACTTGATTTCTAGAAGCTGCATACCTTTCTCTCCTCTCTTCTTCCTGGTCCTGTCTATATGGTCCTTAAGCTGGATTCGGACTTGCCTTTCATTTGGTTGGTCACGTATAAAGGGATGTTTCAAGAGTTGCTCTGTAGAAGGTCGCTGCATGTAATTCTTCACTAGACAGCCTTCTATAAAGCTGAAAAACTTTTTTGACCTGAGAAAGCAGGGAGGGAAAAAATCAAAACCAAAACAGGATCAGAGGTAAAACTCAGCTCAAATATTTTTTGCTCTTCCTCAAAGCCTAATTCCTTTCCTCAAAGAGCATCACGTCCCAGAAGATGGTACAAGTGCTGTCTGCAAGTGTGCCTCCTAAACAGAGCTGAGCCTGAACTCCAGCTGAGCACTGGGCTGGATGAACACAGGGCGATATCAACACACCTGCAGTGCTTGGGCACAGCCTCACAGTAACGTGCCCTCTTTCACAGGCATAATTGCCCTGAAAGGCAGGATCTGAAGGGAAGGCAAACCATGCAAACCCAGCTCTGCTGCTTCTGGACCAGAGCTGGGCAGCATCCAGTTTGCTTGGAGCACGGGCAGGGCAGCTCTGGTGTGTCTCCACCTGCCCTTGCTGTCGAAGGGCACGTCTGCTTCAGAACAGCTGTACCGAAAGCCACAAGAACCGTGGCCAACGTTTCCCTGACACAAGCACCACCATGCTGCTTTTGCATGCACTTGGGCTCACCAAGATCGGACTGCGAGCATTAAAGATTACTTTATTTTTTACATGAAAAGTCATACAAAAAACCCAAAAAAACAACTCATAGAACAACAGGCGGGTGTTGAACAGTGTTGTCTGTTCAACACAGGCACCTGGGGTCAAATTCTCACCGACACAATTTAAGGGCATGAAGTGAACCAAGCTCCTCCTGCAGACTGCATGCAGTGGGCAGGGCATGGGAGTTAGCTAAGCTGGAGCACCACCTTCCCAAATTTGTGCTTCACTTGAGCTCCTGAAAGAGGACCTCTCCAGACAGAAGTCAGCAAACAAGCCGCCTTGCAAAACACCATTAATGGAAATATTCAAAACTAAATTTTTCATCATTTGGCCTATCTTCTCATAACCTGCCACCGAGTGCACCATCGAAACAGCCGAGTCCCAGCAGCACTGGCTTGGCCAGTGTCACTTTCTGATTGTGAGGTGCTCTCAACCTGCTCCCGTGCTCGGGCGGCAGACACCTCCACTACGTGGTTAAGTGTAAAAACAACGGTTTCCATCTATCGCTTCACTTTCCTGCTGTAATCGAAGAGGTAATTTCACTTTTTTTTTTTAATTCCTCAAACCTTAAGAGTTATACTAAACGAAAAGGTTCATGAAAGGCTTCTGCAAATACTGTATATGCATCACTATAACTTATGCAGAAAGCAAGTATGAGAGAGGGAGAGGGATGCCTTGACAGTACAAGTGCAAGTCAATCCAGGCAAACACCAAGCCCAGCAAAGAAGCCAAGTTTCTATTATGTTGATATTGAATAGGCAGTCAAATCACTTCATTATTTTGACAGGATCACAGCATCCTGTGATCACATTCAATCTACACGAAACCTCTTTCTAGAGAGTATTTTTGTTTCACATGTGCCAGTTGTAACCAGTAACTGGGAGGAAATCCTCCGATACTAATGGATTCTTCTCAGTTGGCAAGAACTGCACGCTCAATTCCAATCATTTACAATAATTATAGTAAAAGCCTTCATTAGTTTTAATAGCTCCTTTCAACTTAGCAACTAGAACTCTATAGTGTCGTTCTGTCTCCGTGTTACGATACATCTGAGAAAACATACTGCATATAGAGTGCTGCGGGAGTTTATTTTTTAAAATATGGATACATTTGTCACCTTAATACAGATGCTGCTCTGTCAAGAAAAAAAGCTTGGTTTTTATTTTCACACAAGTCAAGATACAATTTCTCTGGGACAAACACAACTATATAAACAACGCATGCTTTCTATTTCGTGCTTTGGTTCAGTGGCACAGAAGATAACAACAGAGTGATTTTTGCTAAACTGCGTGAACAGTTCTGTGGAAGTGGTAACAAACCTGCACGCGACGAGACACAAGAAAGCATCAAGCTACAAATGGGGCTACAAACAAGAGATAACTAACACATACCATTTCTTGGATTTTAACCGCGGTGGAGGGTTCCTGGGTATCAGAAAGAGTGCCCTCATGGGATGCATGTCACAAAGCGCTGAAGGAAAGAAAACAAAACCGAACAGAAACATACAGACGTTGGCTTAGTCACTCTCTGTCAATGCCACAGCTTCAGTTCCCACAACCATTCCCACCATACTGAGGGCTCATGCAGCCAACAACACAACTAAACAAAATTAGCCCAAAATGACAATAACTCCACAGCTTTACGTGCAAAGGGCAGCCCAAAAAAGAGAGTAAGATCGAGGCACGGATTAACCTTTAGACTCCAGCATGATGCTAACATCTGCACACAGCCCTCCTCCAGCCCCACGTCATCTAACTTATGTTGTAGTCAATAAAATATTGGGAGAAGATGATGGCAGAAGGGAAGAATTAAACAGTTACTGTTTCAAACAAACTTCATTCCACCTGCCCTCCTCTCCCATTACGCAGACAATTAAGGCAGGATGCCTCATTTTTACTCTCCAGACTTGGAGGTTTTCTCTGTTCCAAGGCACGATGGTTTTGAAGCATGGGAAGGTCTACACTAAAAAAAAAAACCAAAACGGATTCCGTGCAGACCTGAAATGCAAACCCACAACTTTTCTCCAACGAAGTCCCCTTGGTTTCAGCAGACACTTCGTGGGAGTCCACTAAGGACAGCCTTTCCTCCTGCCCAGAGCAAAGCACCATGGCAGAGCCAACACAGGGAAAGAAGGGAGCAGGGAGGGAGGCTTCCCAGGAAAGGATTCTAGAAGCAAACCCTCTGTTTTTAACATCTTCCTATGCTTGATCTCTTGCACCATCAGTCTTAGCCTGAATGATCACTGCAGGAAGAGGTAATATTTTCTACCCAGCAGAAATTCAGGAGAAACAGACTGATGTGAAGAGCATTATGGATTCAGAGATAAGGGGCCACAACCTTGGCAGAGAATGTCTGTGGACCTCCTCAGACCACCAAGCTTAGCGATGGGACTCTTCAGCCTCTGCTGGAGGAGGAGGCAGAGCCCACGTGCCAGAGGACAGACCAAGGCAAGAGCTGTTCAGCATTTATGTTGGATCTTTGCTTCCTTCTCAAATGCCCCTGTTGTGCTTTTATACAAAGAGGGGCCAAGCTCTGCTTTGGCTTGGAAATGAAAAAATATCACTGTCCAATTCCAGGCTTGCAAAACCCACAGACACAGCTTTTAACTGAAAGCCACCCAGGCAACCCAATGCACTGAACAAAAAGGTACAGCAAAAAGGAGGTCAAGTGGTAGCTCAAATGCTGTTAATACAGCACTCGCTGAGGTGTCCTGGGAGCAGCTCTCACATGGGCAATGATGCAAACGTGCAATTAGGAAGATAAAAAAAAAAAACCACGAAACACACCCAAACCATCAGACCTCCTAAAACATGAATCAAAACAAGAACATCGTGCTTTGATTTATAAATTTTACATTAACAACAACAACAAAAGATCAGGCAGCGGCTATAATGAAATGACCACTTTTTAGCTAGGAAAATATCAATACTTCATTTCAACATGATTATTTCAAAGACAGAGGTTTCAAGCTGGGCTGTGGTGGTTGTTTATGTGTAAAAAAATTTAACTAACTCACTCTTAGGTACCTTAGGCTGTTATTTTTCAAATACAGAGCTCCAGCTGGAGTTGGGTGTAAGCATATTTGCTAGTTCAATAAGGATTTTCATAAAAATTACCACTGAAAGCCAAAACTTCAGGCCTAATTTCTTTTCTTTTCTTTTTAAATCTTTCTGTCTTCCTTGCACATATCTGCTGTTTGCCTTGATATTCAGAAAGAACAAGTATGTGAGGGGAAAATCAGCTATAAAAAGTTGTGCATTATCGGTTTCCAGATTTCCAGCTCAAAAATACCCATATCAACTGATGAGTTTTCTCACACAGGGAGCATTAAGTTCAATATTCTCGACTGAAGATGGATTTACAGTTTAAGTCATGCCACTGCTAAGGAAGATCAACAACCACCCACCAACGAGTGGAAAGAAAAGAAGCAACGTTAGCATTACCCAGACTGACAGAAAGCCAACACAGAAACAATTGCTACAGATGCTTTTTTCATTAAGGTCAATTTTCTTGGGGCCCCACTGCCCCTCTCCCCAGCTGAGGTTTCAGCATCCCAGGCCAGGCCATACACAAACTGGGACACAACTCCAAAACACACGATACTACCCATAGGAAGGAAGCCTGACGCTCGATTAGCATCCAGATATCACTGCTATACAAAGTAAATTACCGCAGTCTGCACTGTAGCGCTTAAACACTACCCTATCTTTATCAAAAGCGTTGCTATTTATGGGATTTTATATTTATAGGGCAGGCAAAACCAAAGCAAACAGAAATAACTCGAGGATACTTTCAGAAACCTCAAAACTAGACTCAGATTACAACCAGCATCTCCCAAGTATACGTTTCAGCCTTAATCAGCCCACTGGAGAAGCACACGTATCACTTACGGGGAGCTCCTTCTGCCATCTCTATGGCTGTAATGCCGCAGGACCAAAGGTCACTCTGCATAAAAAGAGAGAGAGACCATATGTTAGGAGGTGGATTTACCCATTCAGACAGTAAGAGAGTACTATCTACAGGGGCCCTGTAGGTGAGACTGAAACAAAATACCACAGCTATTTAAATACTATAAGCTACTTTTTTCCTGTAATGGTATCACAAACTCCTACTTGGCATGTAATACATTTAGATACATATACACACAAATGCGTGCATGTATTCATACAGAGTATGCAAACAACCCTTTCTAGTAACACATAAAGTCATATTCACATTATGACAATTAAAAATACATTTAAAAAACAAAAACTGAAAAACATGAAATCTAAGCCTATGAAACAACAGAATGTTCAATATTCCACTGTTTACAAAGGACTGAACATCTCCCCACAGTAGATTCACAGAAAACATCGCACCCGTTCCCCCAAACAAAAGATGGAGAAAACGAAAGACTACGAAGACTGCGGGGCAAAAAAACCCCAGAACCTGGCAGGTCTTTTTCAGTGGCTTAAACCAACAAATAAACAAATACAGATTAGTGGAATACACCCAGTCCTAAATTTGTTCTAGTCCCAGTAATCAAGTAACAGCTTTACATAGGGGAACTGCCATCACTGCTAAAATTGCAAGCAGCCTCTGTTGGACACATCGCTTGGGGCCAACGCAAACGCTCTGTGCCTACCATCTCAGCTTTGCTTGAAACGTTATGGAACAAGCATCCCTCAGTGGAAGCTTTTCAAGGTACCACCTCTGGCCAGCGCCCCTGACTAGGGACATCCTGAGCGAGGGCCAGGAGGGTCAAAAACAGGCAAGAGCTGGAAGACTCCTGGCGAGGAACCAAATCCGGAGACTCCCGTAGCTTAAGGGGCAAAACATGGGAGGAGGCTGCAGAGAGCGAGCTGCTCTTCAGCAAAGCAGTGTTCATTTTTGGTCATAATAATGATTTTTTTTAAATATTAGTCACAACTAATGAGCAAATAAGCTCTTCTGTACTACAAGTAGAGGAACGTTTCTAATGATCCCATTTTCAGACCCAGCAAGGCAATCATTTCTCTTGGTCCAATCCAGCCATTTAAGCTAAACTGCACAGCCGTACAGAATCTTATTCTTACAAGCTCTTTCAACCATGAATTTTGGGGGGGGGCGGGGTGGAGGTAGCCTTACAAGCTGCACCAGGAACAATAAACAAGTATATTTTTCACGCCATTACTGCATTAACTAATATAGCATAGAGTTTTTCTCCTTTATTAGATCATTTAATAGCCACCCTTCCTTCCTAATAACTCCATCTGCGAAGACAGAAAGCGGTATCTTCAATACAATGAGCTGATGGATGTAAAAAGCAATTAAATAAAGAGAAATACGATCAATCTTAGTCAAAAGGTACAAAATCACCAATTCAAATAATCTGTTTTTTTTTTAAATAGATTTAGGCACACACGAACCTACAGATAGCTAACACTACCATCAAACTGAGCAAATTTATATAATTGATATTCAGCTCTAAAATTCATTGTAAGGCCTTAATCACAGAGTTTCTGATATCTTTGTTGCCCTTCTTGGTTAAAAGTTAGAACAATTGCATTAGTCTAAGTGAAGATTTTTTTTAAAAGCATATTTCCCCACTTTTCCTTTCCTTGTGCTTTCATTAAAGCAAGCTGAGAAGAACTTTTAAGATTACAGGACACTTTCACTAGAGAAATTTAAATACACATACATAATATTCTTAACAATAATGCAAATGCCATCAAACCAATTATGGTTTTGCAGTAATTAAATCCTTGGTTTGCAGCAAACTATGTAAAAACTTATCTCTGTTAAGAAATATTGCAATGGATAAATTTTTATCAACTTGTATATGTATCTTGAAATCAGGAACAGGCACAGTTTAAAGAGCTCCTTCTGTACTTCACTGGCTCTCCAGGCGGTGGTTCTATTTAAGGCAACACCTAAAATGCATTGTTCTGGGTTACTACAGTAACTAGGACATAGCCTAACACAATTTAAAGTACAATCATTATATAAATTGAGAACATGAGTGTTTCCAGTTTAAGTAATTTTTGCCTTGTCTGAGCGCCTACAGCACACTGAAGTCCTATACTCCATATGTCTCAAAGCTATGCTAATACAAGTAATGGCAACTGTTAAAAGGTCACAATGTGACAATCACCCATACCTTGTACTCCTGTAATAAGAATGTATTTACAGAAAATAGTGTTACTCCTACAAGGCATAAGTAGTCTCAAAAACTGCCATCGTTCATGGACGTTCATATTGCAAGTGTATGATGGGTTTTTTTTTTTTCTATGAACCGGACTCTCTTACTCTGTAATCATACGTAGCATCTGGATTTTCATCACAGGCAATGACTTCTGGAGCCATCCAGTACGGAGTTCCAATAAAAGTGTTTCTCCTGCCAACTGTCCTGTCCAGCTGAGCGCTCACACCGAAATCCACTGTGGGTGGGAAAAGAGTACAATAAAATAAGAGGGAAAAAGTAACGCAGTGATTACTTCTGTAAGGTGATTTGGAAACCAAACCCTGTGGATGTTCCATGTGGGATGACCATGCTGAGGAGAAATATGATGATTAGTACTGAGGCAACCGAGCCCTCATGCTTCACGTGCAATGTGCTCAGGCCACAAGCGCCAAGAGACCCTGCAGCGTGTGACCACCCCTCTTGCACCTCTCACCAGCCTGCCTGTATAGAACGGAGCGTACAGCTGCAAAAATACTGCCTGGGAAGCTAAGCAAGGGCTATTCCCTTCCTAACTGGTGAAGCCAAGTTCCTTTGCCTGTAGAGAAGGAGTTGCTTCCCAAAGGTACCTCTCATGGTATGGGAAAATCATGCGCGTGAACATGTCTCCTTTTCAGCTGTCCACTTTTTCTGCTCTAAAATCGTACAGCAAAAAGAATCTGTTGCTCGGTGAATCACTCTCTGCTCTAACGCACAGAGCAGATGCGTCGACAGGAGCGAAAGATGAGGATTATTCAGGAGCTGCCAACTTTGAGCACACACACATGGGTTGCAAGAGAGATGCCCATTTCATTACAGGGCAATTACGTTACAAAGGCGTTCTCCTCCCTTCCGTTCTCCCGCTCACGACAACAGCAATGTATGCCTTTCTACACCAGTAACCGCATTTGCCTTAGGAGGGCTGTGTCAGCTTCACCACATCCATCACCTGAGCGACAGTGACAAACTGGTGTAGAGGAGCTCGGTGGGAGCAACGGTCTGGGGGCTACAGTGCTCCACTTCGGACCAAAAGGAGGAAAGCTCTCCTGAGAGCTTCCTCCTCCAGCAGCCGGGGCATCTTCCCATGCCTCGTGCTGCAGGAAGGTGTAGCGCAAAACAGAAGGGATGTGGGCTGGGTGGGAGGGCTTCAGCATGGCTCTATATTTAACCTAAAAACGGTGGTGAATGTAGCGTCATACAAACACAGAAAGTTAAAGTGTGCCGTAACTGGAGGAGGCAGATTAGAGAGAAGGAAAAATAGAGTTTGTCCACTTGGAAGAGAGAGAAGAGGCCAGGGATTGGCATGGTTTATTGGCAAGCATGCCAGAGCTGGAACTGCGTTTTGAACTTCATGCCACAGCTCCCTTCGAGTGTGCCATCCAGAGCATTTTTGGTCCCAGAATCTGCACAGCAGGTGCTATTTTAACTAAAGCTAAATAAAAGAGTGATTCCCATCACTTACAGAGTCCAGAATAAAGGGAATCAGAAGCAGCCCAAGTCATGCACGGCTCGGTGGGGGGTTCAGAAGAGTCCCCTCACCGATCCCGGCATGAAAGCCAACACCTTCTAACGAAACGCATGCCATCCTCCCAAAGCAAGAGGAAACACGTGCAGGGCCTTGACTCGCACAAGAACAGAGACAGAGTGCAAATGCTACAGAACAGGTCACAGGGCTCTCAGAGGATAAGATCAGTTTGGGAATAGCAGAAAACAAAGGTTGAAGAAGCGGACGTGCAAGCCTACTTACCGAGTTTCACTTCTGCGTTCTCTGTTAACAACACATTTTGGCCTTTGATATCCCTGTGAATCACATGATGAGCATGAAGATGTGCCAACCCCTGCATGAAGAAGAGAGGAAGGAGAGGATATCCAGAGTTAGGCTCCTGGCTTAGCAACAGACCACCCATACCCAGCTCCCCCACAGCCCATAGCCCTGGGCGTCAGGCTCTAGCTCAGCAGCTGGGTGCGACGGGACCCGGGCACGCCGCTTGCACATTTTTCGGTACCAGAGCAGAGACACAGGCCCCCGGCCATGCACACGCTGTACCTAAACACAGCCCAACATCCAGATGGTGCAAACACCCCTCAGCTGTCGCGTGAAGAAAGCTCAGCTCCCAGAAAGCCTCCGTGCAGTGACCACGGCATCAGTGTACGTCACTGACGTCTGACATGCACAGGGTCATGTAGAAATTAGTCCGGGGAAGGGGGGTGGAGGGAGAAAGGAGGCAGCATCAGCATGTGTATATGCACCCCCAAGAAGGGAGTGGGAGGGTGATGGACTGGCAGCAATGTCTGAGGGTGAGGAACGACTGATGACAAACAAAAGCTCTGCTGCAAAGCTGCAGTTCTCTTCTTTAGCCTCTATAAATATGAAGCCAGATAATTGTTCCTCAGGAAAAAAAAAAAACAACATGCAAAAGGGGAAAAAAAAAAAAGGCATGAGCATTATACTTTCCAAAGGAAACAAAACCTCCTGGCATACGGCACTTTTTGTTGAGACAGCACCTGGATGCATGCCCCAAAGCGTTAGCCATGTGGAGGGAGGGCTGAGGAAGACATATGTTGCATTTTACTCTCTAACGTAATTGGGAGAACAACAGGCAACCCTCTTAGCAACTGCCTGTATTTTGGTTTCTCCTCAGCTCTCTGCTCGGAAAATTGTAGTCTCCAGTGGGATCGTCTTGCCTGTTCGTGTTGCCCTCATAGGCCTTTAATGTTTTATGAAAAATAAAGAAATAGAACCTTTACAGCTGCAAGAGGTTAAGAGAGTAGTGGTTGCTGCAGAGAAGTATTTCCTAACACATGCTCTTCATTAAAAGATCATTTACCAGTTTGCCTACATAACCATTGGGCTATTTTCTTTTCTTAAAACAGTTAATGAGCGTGACAGAAAAGACCACCGTCCACAGCTCCTCCCCACACATGTCACAAGCAAATCAAGTGAACCGCTGATGTTCCCAAGACCCTTCGCTGGCTGCTAGTGCTAAGCGTGGTCTTATTTTTCACAGGAATGAAGGCTTTCCCACAGCTTCACACTGGATACTTTTAAAGCCTTCTGCTACGCTGACCAAGCCAGAGAGATAATCGTCTGTTCTCTCCAGAGTACCATCTAACCTTACCGAAAAAACACGCTTGGGTTTGCGAAGGGCTGGGAGGAGACAGAGGGGCAGGTCTCCATTCTCCTGCAGCCCCAAGGCCCCTCCAACCACACGGGGATCCCCTGGGTCGACCCTCACCTGTGTCACCTGCACCAGCCTTTGTCACTTTAGCTCATTTTAACTTTCTGTTACACAACCTCTCTCCTCCGTCTCTGACAAACTTAGTGTCGAATGAGGTTGTGCAATCTCTCATAGCAATGTGAGTTTAGCATTCCTTTTTTCCAGATATTCCAGTTTCTGCCAGCAAGCAATTAAGGCTCCTTTTGCAAATCTCTCACAGGAATGAGAAAACAGCTTTCACCTAACTCTTTTCTGAGGTAAATAATTTTTTCCTCTTCTTAGCGAGCGCGACTACTTTACCTCAGGAGAACCTAGGATGAATGCAACATAGCATGCAACGCCTCCAAGGTCACACAGCTCTCCAATCAAGCATAAGATCAGTCCTGCAGAAGTTAGCTTACCTCACACCAAAGCATGCTACCCATTTGATTTGAAATACAACCACCAGTAGGTATTCAACTTTTCTTCTCCCTCGTAAACAACCGAAAACGTGCCGGCCCAAACACCAGCAGACAGACACTCTCCTAGCATGTGGAGTTAGAGTGAGAGACCAGAATCATATGCCTCCCTCCCTCACTAGCTTAAAAATTGCCAAGGCAGAGAAAATGTGCAACACAGACAACAGCAGCATTGATTTATGTAAGAGCCGGTGGTGGCTTCCTTTAACATAATGCCCTTCAGAACTTCATTTATGATGAGGCAATTGAACAAACACACTGTGTAGTGGTATGAGTAGGAGGCAATTTGTTTTACAAAGAAGCACGAGGAAAACCATACCAGATTTACTTAGTGCAGCAAACAAACGCCAATTCAAAAAGCACTTAAACTGTACCAACTGGAAATTAAATATGAACAGTAATTAGTTAAAGCTTCAGTTTTAGAAAAACTGGTAAGTGGCATCCCTCTTCCTGAGAAACTTCTGCAACGCTGTCTGCTAGTACTCCACAGCATATAGCCACATACGACGTAGCTGCTTGCTCTAGACAGACTGCAGGAATACACAATACGTGAGCACGTCCCAGCACACAAGTCCTGACTGCTGGCCTGAGCCAACAACTCCCTTCCTCCACAGACTTGATTAGGAGCAGAGAAAGATGGCTGCAAGCCCCTTTGGCAAAGCCCATTTAGCACCCTGTTTTGTTATGACACTGTTATAACCTCAGGCTTCTCAAGAACAGTATGTTATGGACACTGTTTCACAGCTTCTACACTAGGTAAGGTCACTGGTTCTTCCTCTGGCTTCTCATGACTAAAACCTGCTATTTTCTGCAAGGCTGCTGTTACAATACGCTACAACTCATACCGAGTTAAATGATGTGGAGCAGACATCTATCTGCTCCTACGCATTCTCCAAGCGATGACATGGCTAACGGGATTGATCAGAATCAGCTTCTTGCAGAACCTCAAGCCAGGCTACATCTCTGTAAGATTGTTTCTGTGTTTTCAAGCAGAGCAGACTATTTTTCTTACCCGGAGAATCTCTCTGGAGATATATGCTATCCAGTCTTCTTTCAGAGTATTCCCTTTTGTGTTCTTCACAAGGTCTGTGATAGAGCCTGCTCCACAAAACTCCATAACAAGCTGCAAAACAAGTATCAGCATACAACCAACATTAAACACAGTTCCCAGCTGTCTAGCAAAGCAGAATAATCAGGTTGCAGCATTGATTTGGGAAACCCTCACGAAGAAGAGAATGTAATTTCTTTTACATCTCTGCCTGGAAAATGGATTCAAACCAAATGTCTTCAATGTGTGGCAGACATATATGGAATATGTCTCACATTAGTTACCACATTTTTAAGGACTGATTTAATCACTGTAATTTAATGCTGGGAATCTGGATTTGCTCAGCTATGCAAAATGAATTAGCAGCAACAGGAGTAAGAGCACATCCAGTGCTGAAGGAATCAAACCAATCACACCTTCAAAACACAGCTTATTCTTTAACTCCCATTTATTTATGGAAGAACATGCACTGGCGTCTGTGCCCTGCCATTTCAAACTCGAACTTCAGTCCTCTAGAGGGTGTAGATGACTTGGGATGAGAAACATAATGGGTACAATTCTCAAGTGTGGCTTTCGTTTTACAGCCACACGTTATCACCGCTCAGCTCACCTGCCTTATTCCCATGAAACATGTTACTATCCATCTGGGAAATAGGGAAAAAAAAGTTACTTAAAGAGCAAATCCATTGCTAACAGCAAATCCTGGTTCAGCCACTGTCTTAAGGATGCATGATTAGTCTGTGTGATTCACTTACCTATCTGTTCAGGCAAGCACCGAATTCTATTAGTTTGTCTTTCCATAATGTGATATTTCTGTCATCCTGAAACTATATTCAGGAGGGAAAGACTTACGAACATGCTTGAGAAATATCTGCTTACCCACAGTTGGTCATCATGTCCTGGAGGACTTTTCTTAATGAACGCACCATAATAAGTTGCAATATTTCTATGATGAGAGTATTTCTTTAGCATATTAATCTCCAGTTTGATTTCTTCTTCTTCATCCTTTGGGAAAAAAAAAAAAAACACCCCATGTTTAATACACCACGTGGATTATTTATTTCCTCTTTCACACAAGTAAATTTTTATAAAGTTCAATTTATACCAGCATCACACTCAGTAAGCACATCCGATGTTCACGCCATCAAAATCCTGTTTATTGAGATAGTCTAAACCAGATCTTTACTTTCCAAAGTTTTCAGTAGTGCAAAAAAGCAAATGAAGGATGCACTGGACTACATCAAATGATGGAGCAGGACAGGATGTTTTTTCAAAAACCCTATGCTTGTAATACCATAAGTAAATACATAGCTATCAGGCTATTATTCTACGTAACCCAGAGAAGTAGAAAACCGGAAAAATCTTTGATTTTATGATAGAGGAGTATTATTTCTCTCCTCTTCATTTTTTTTTCCCTTCAATTTCGAAAATTGCAACCAGTTCCACTTAAACGCCAGACAGGGGCTCAGTGCAGCCGGCTGCCGAAGCAGGCCCTCCGGGGGGGGTCCCCCCACCGCGGGGGTCCCACCTCGGTGCCAGCACAGGGCTGGCACAGGAAGGCAGAGGTGGAGATCAGGAACTCCCCTGACCGTGCGGACAAGGCGTTTGCCTCCTGCACAAATTTCCTCCTCCTCCTCCGTCTGCCTCCATGGAGGAAGAGCAAGTGCATCGGGAGCCCGGGTGGTAAACAGGATGCCGGGACACAAAGGCAGAGGAAGGATTTCCCCCGGCTCCCCCCCACCTCGGCGAGGTGCCGAGCAGAGAGCAGCTCAGGTGAAGGGACGTCATCCCTTCAAAGGCCCGAACTGGGTAACGTGATGCAGCCACCCCTTGAAACCACCCACAGACCGGTTCTGAAGCGACAGTAGGAAGCGTCGCATGGAAGGATTCACGCAGGCTTGGACGTGATGCCCGAGCAGGCAGCCAGCAGTTACCGGAGGAGAAGGAGGAGCGGGCACCGTACCACCTAGACGGTGGGAGCCTTCATCTGGCACCTCTCAAGGCAAGGAACGAAGAGGCAGCTGGTTTACCCCTTTAGGCACAACCTTTATTCGCTCTGGTTTTCTAGCCTTAGACATCCAGGGGGAAAATGTCTACCTTAAATTGATTCCAGGAAGAAAGCGAAACCTCTGTTCCCTAGGGTGGCTGGCTGATGGAAACGGTAGCACGTATTTTGATTATCCTGTAATGTCAAAGCTGATTGCATGAGAAAATTTTAAGCCTTAAACTTCCTTGCAATTTGTACCACGCTAGCAATCAAATACCCTGTTCACGACATATGTAGATGTTAATACTAAGTACATGTTAACTATTTATACACACTGGTATGCATGGCTTTAGCAAAAGAAACCACCCTATGCTACAAAGCAAACATTATTTCAAATACACTAATGGTGCGATGCAGTGCTCACTCGTAAATTATTATGAGAGAATTCCCAAAATGCACCAGGGAGAAACTATCCTTAAATCTTCTCATGACGAATCTTTAAAGTAAAATACTGCATATTTCTGGAACACTGAACAAAACAGTAAAATAATCTCGTAAATCGAAGTTCCCAGTGAACAGCAGCCCTGGGAGAAAGTGTTATCAGCACAGCTTTTTGAGCCAAAAGCTAACTCAGTGCTTCCTCAGCTGCTTCTGTTGTCCTTGCTGTTGTGTGATTTTTTTATCTATTTAGACCATACACAAAAAAAAACCAAAACAAAAAAAAACCCCAAACATGCTTGTACTACTTGCTTAACTACCACACTGAACTATGAATTCAGGGAAAAAAACTGTAATAGGAGCTTTGTTAAACTTCACAGTTTAGGACTTAATCACTGGTAGGTTAATATGTATAATTGGATTAATCTGCTATTTTGTGCTGAGTTTTTATACAAAAATTATTTCCTACCCTCAGCACATGAACACAATAGCTTTTACAATACAATGGGCAGGATGTCCTAAAGGTTGTTCATGTTTATCTATTGTAACAACAGCCAAAATGACAACGCTTACACAGGATCTATTTCTGAAAAATAAAATAATAAAAAAAAAACCCACCCCCAAAAACCCCCTCAAAGAACAAACAAGAAGAAAAAAGGTGCCCACAGAGCCAGCAGACTGCAGGCAGTGACTGCTCTTTCACTTTTTCCTTGTGGCTGTGTCAAAGCACCTGCTCAACGGTCTGCAGCAACCCCAAGCCTTCCCTTAACTCAGGCTAATAATGGTCCTAAACTCCTACTTCAGCTGTCGTTGAGCATTTGTCCACAACACAAACAGAGTCTCACCTACAGTTCAATCCAGCCCAAACTCCAGCCTACAAAAACAAATGGATTCAGTAATTCTTGCCAGGCTCTGGAGGACTCCACTTACTTAGTGCGGATCGATAGCTCCCTGGCACTGAGTCCTGAAGACTTTGTGGCGACAGGAACTATCATGAGGATTAATCAGCACGGAGAAGGCTGCAGTACCACTGTGATACAGCAATTGGCAAGAGATTGAAAAAACAGAAATTGAAAACAAATAAAAAAGGTGCCCGGGCCAAAACTGTTCTATTCCAGATTCAGGAACATTTTCTTCCAGGGCAGAATTGCTTTCATCCCAACGCGGACATCCGAAAGAGGCCAAACAATGTGCGCCCTAACGGTGTTTACTTCTCCCCACTAACTACAAAAAGAGGATGAGGTCATTAGCTGAGATCCAGACACCAATCTTGCAGATGTCTCACATCAGGGCGAGATGAATCCCACCCAAAAACCTCACCGGATAAGGCCGTTTCCGAACAGGTCTCCTTAGGGACACACGTGCTATGGGGAGGGCAGGCTGCAGCCTGCTGCAAGGATCCTCTGGGGCGGAGGGAGGTGTTTCGGCAGCTGTCCTGGGATTCGGAGGCATCCTGGGATTTGGGGCCATGAGATGTCCTTGGGGACCGAAGGTCCTCAGGGACAGAAGGTCCCTCACCTCCTGGTAACACCACCCGCGCTGCACCACCACCACCATTAACAGAGTCTCTGTCTGCAGAGGCGCCAGGATCACAAAAGGGGAAAATTAAAACCGATTGAGGCAAGAGACTGTCATTCTCATGAAGGAATACAAAAGTACATCCTTTTTTCTTGGAGGAGAGAGGCAGCTGGTGAGCCCTTCCTAGTGATTTTATGCAGCTGGCATCAATTACCACTTTAAGCCATTATCTGTGGATACAAACTCCCATTGAAACCTCCTTTGTCTGGCCTGCGATGGGGCTGGTGTAAGTGTTTTACACTTCTACATTCGCTGTCTGTTTGTGACAGCACGGCTGATTACTAGTAATTTTTGCAGTAAGCTATACTTTTACAAGACTCACGTGGTTAAATCAAGCTTGGAGCGGCTTTCCTGTCCCTTTGCATGCATTTCCCTTCAGAGATTAAATGGACACGTCAGCATCTCTAGGGATTTCTAACTGCAACGCTGTTTTATCAGAGAGACTTTGCCTGCAAGACTAAAAACCGCACACGGCACCCGCACAGAAATCCACCTCTGCACATTAAGATCATTTCCAACCCTTTGCATTAGCACATTAAAAACAAAATGAGGCGTGCTGCCTCTCAGCAAGCCACGTAGCAGCGCCCGACCAGCTTGCTTACGGCTGCAGCACAAGATCTCCACACCGCTTGCTCTTCCATTCATCGTTGCACACGAAACAGCAGATCTTTCTTTTTTTGCATGCAGACGGCAAATCAATGACTTGTTATTTTCATTACACCACCATTTATAAACCTGTGATCATCTAAGTATCTGAATGATTGAAGTGTCTGAATGCAGTGCCACTGGAGTTAACTCCCAGTCAAATAACAGCTACTAGAGCAGATTCATGTAAGGAATATTAATCTGGACAGCTCAATTATGCCATTTCAGCGTGTTTTCCAAAGATAAGACCCCGTATCATTATCGCAAGAAAATCCTGCTTATTTATACAACCTCTTAGAAGATCAGGAATTCAGAAGCACTTCGCTGGACATCATGGTAGGGAGGGAAAAGAAGGGAACTACAGCTCTAGAAGCAGGGAGGACATAACCAAAGGAGAAGAAAAATCACTCCATGCATGCCTCTTTTTTATATACGTCCCTAAACATCGTTGTCTAGGTGCCTCAGGAGACCAAGCAAAACAGTCCCGACCTGCCCCAGCGCAGCAACTGGTACAAGACCCCTACCAGAATCTGTCTCTGAGAAACAGACCCAGGGAAGGAAGCAGGGAAAACTCTTGGGAATAGAGTTTCCCAAGCTCTATAGCACAAAGAAATTACTTCAGGAGGTAAATTAAAAAAAAAAAAAAAAAAAAAAAAAAAACAACAAAAAAAAAAAAAAAAAAAAAAAAAAAAAAAAAACCACCACAACAAAAAAAACAAACACATAAAGGTACACTGAAGTATCCCAGGTCATACACGTGGTGATTCTCCATCCACGCTCCCCTGGGTTGAAGAGCTGGTCACTGCTCTTTGCTAGCTATTGATTCTGCCCTCTCAAAGGACGGCACAGCTCAAGGAGAAGAAACTCAGGACAATTTCAGAAGGTTTTATTTACGCCAGCAGTATGATGAGGTGAAATGTGAATGAGTAAACACAGCCAAGCAAGGACAAAGCAAGACAATGTTCTGTGATGAAGTCAAGAGCAAGTTTACTTATCCTGCCGGACGATTTATATGCTGCCCTATATCAGTTGGCAGAGGAACACAAATTGGTCCCCGCAGTAACTTTCCTCTCTGATTTAAGAAATGTGACAGCGACAAATCTCAGCTCTCCCTGCACAAACAGCATCCAGCGATTTTGAGCTACAACCGAGTGTTGTAAGAATTGACACCACTCCTCAATAGTGGAAAGCCAAACACATGGGTGAAGCGGCATGGGAAAAGGGGAGCCTCCAAGTCTCCTTCCCTTTGCTTTCCCAGTGCTGCCCCCGAAGCTCTGCCTGCCTATACCCAAGGAGCCGTACTGCCTGCAGAACAGCGGCTGGCGATGCTCTGCCAGGGCTTTCAGAGTAAGACGAG